TCCAAAAATAAAATTGTATAATCAAAAAAATATTTGGAACATTACATAAATTAGACAATGGATAAACATCCAGACCCGGAACAATTTTTTGTAGAGTATACACACTAGTTCCGATCTATAACACTAGAGACTATAACACTAGTTCCGAGCGGGATTTCGACTCACCGACCGCATCTTGGTAGCTAAATGATTAGTTAACGCACAAATGTGCTATGTATATATACTATCACAAAATTACATTTAATATATTACATTATCATCTACAATCGATAATAAAAATAATATACTTTTGTCATTAACATAAATAAAAATATGGGTTATTTAACAAAACACGGAAATACTGATTTAAGTGGAACAGCGAGTTTAAATTAAGTTTATGCTTGAGAAGACACAGAAAAATGTTTTTAAACTAAATATACAAATCATTGAGCTCGAAATTAACACTATAGTAGACACCTACGTTGATAGTTTGAGCGCGGTTGCTCATGACCGCCATAGTGAACCGAAAAATGAGTTTTTAGGTTTATTTGTTTTTTAAATATTGAAAACTTGGCGAGAAATGTTCGGCACGCAGAGGCTGTACCGTACGAGGACTTAAAAAAGACATATTTGTCCGATCGCTTCATTATAAACGTGAAGGACGGTAGCGATACTGACGGTGATTTCAATTTGATTTAAAAATTATTCTTATTTCATTCATTGCTATCTTTTAATTTTATAATAAACGTATAAATAATAACAAGTTCATAAATATACTTTTTTATTTTTCAATACAATTACTGGAAATTAACAATATCGAAAGTAACACGGCGCTCATCAAATCTTGTAAGGCGTACATTACACGCTCATGCAGGCTGTCAGTTTTACAACAATCACGGATGTGATTGACGAATAACCTACCGTGTAATGCAGCGATTGACGCCTGCATGAGCGTGTAATGTACGCATATCAGTCACCATCCGTTTTTTTATCAATCATGATTGATGGAATTAACTGAAGCCTGTATTAGCGTGTAATGTACACGGACAAGTGCAAGCTAGAGGGTAGCATCTACTTTAAAAATTAATAAGAAATATTACACTTAAACATGAAAAGATATTTATTTATAATTGAACTAATTAGTTTAATTATTTAATATTAGATCAATATATTTTATTTATTTATAAATATGTAAACACTCATATATAATATAATTTGACGTATTATAAATATACAGCGTTGTGGCACGAGGGCGCGACGGTTTAGCTCCTCATATGGTCACAACTGCATAGTAATTAACGACATCACATGTATTTTACTTACCGCCGGTAATTTGATTGTACTTGTAAAAAAAGTAAGTAAATTAAAAAAAAAATAATCTGTAATTAATTGCTTTTATTGTTGTGCTACAACATATTGTATAATATTATGATTCGTTAAATTTATAAATATACAGTAACTATTTATCGATATAATGTAGTGTTAAAACAGAGGTAGCAATTTTTGGAATGGGAAATAGTGGAAGGAATGAAATAATAAAAGGTATTCGAATGGTTATTTCGATAGCAAATGTTAAGAGGTTTGCAAATGACAATGGCGAACTCCCAAACAAATTTTATGTGACCCTTTACGCATTACTACTACTATACTATACTATACGCTTAGACGCAAACTACAAATGCAAAATATGTAAAAATATAAAGTTTAAAATCCTGAACATTATTTCCTCGGTCATACTACTGCAGGAAGTCAGGAATTAAAGATATTCCAGTTTAAACAAAATACACATCGGACTAGGCTGTATGGTATAAAACGCCTTAATTGGTCGATATAATTTTCATATATGTTTATATAAGGTAATTATTAGCATAGAGGGAATCCTTAAAGAACGCATTGATATAACAACATATATATATATATATATATATATATATATATATATATATATATATACATACATATATAGAAGTTTTCTGAATAACATACACGTCAAATTCGACTGAATGTCTGTATAAGGCCTTTGCCTGTCTTATCAGACGTATCGTAACAACTGCAACAACTAGTCAATTAAGTTTTGAATTATGTATGATGATTTTTTTTCTAGACTTCGAATGACCCTAAGCTTGATTAGATAAAACAAAGAAAATTATTTTATTGATATCTATAACGGTGACTTAAGTAGACGCTTCATAATTCCATCACCTATTATTTCGCCATTGTTCTTTGGTTCTTATAAGTCTTAGATCACTGAACTTTGTTCAGATCATTTAATACAACATATAATATTTCTTACTGTTATTTTAGTACTTAAATTAAGACTATACAATAAAATATTCTCATTATTGGGCCTGTAATTTCTTAAATCATAAATGCTTTTTTTATAGAATGCTGTGGCTCATAGACATCTTCATTTATCCTCGATTAAGAATCAAAATGCAAATGCGTTGTCACCCCTGAGGACTAAGATGGCATACCTCGTTTCCAGTAAAAAGGGTCTCCAGTTCTCTATACTCAGCACACGAAACACAGCAACCTTGAGCTGCTATTTTACGCTGGTATTCAGTGAGAGCGTGGCCTTATCCCAGCCGAGCCGGCCCGTTTGTGCTACAACTACTACACTTAGCTGCAGCGTAGCTCTACCACGTATCGATACCACCGTGTAGCTAAGTCCATGAACGTAACAATAGCTGCGGCGGTATTGATGCGGTAGTTTTCTTTATATATACTTACGTACGTACTTTACGTACTACGTTAATGGAGGCAGTAACCTTTTTATTGTAACTGTTATACTAAAATAAATAATTATAATCTCTTTTTAAGTCAAAGACCTATAATAAATTGGGATGTCACAATTCGACGGATGAAAGTTTTATTAACAGAAATATTAGTAGTAAGTTTGATGTAACCTCTTACCTCCAGTTAGATGCAACAAACAAAATAAAATTAGTTTATTCAAAGTTCCCAGTGTAGAATGCTAATTGTTATTTTGCTTCGTAAAACTTTCACTGTATTGTTTATTTTCGAGAATGTATTCTAAAAGGTTTTTGGTTATTTAAGTTTCAAATTAGTATATTGTTGTATACATTTATGTTTTTCTTTTACTTTCTAATAAAACAAACCATCAATAGCAGTAATTCTAAAATGTTCTACCTTCAAACCATAAATATTATAAAAATATATCACAATAGCGACTATCATTTAAGTATAGTAATGTCTGTGACCAGCGTCACCTATCGCCGCACTCTACGACCAAACGGTGGGTTCCACCTCAAAAATCTATAACTTTTGTTATTTCTTTACATTCTGAATTTAAATTTTTGTGTACGTATTTCTAAATACTTATGCTATTACATATTTCAAACACCGCCACTTTAAAAACTATATCCATTTTGTAAAAGAATAACAAAAATAAACTTTTTAAAATGTTCACACAATAATTAAAATATGCATCATCGTTTTTATCATACGTGCCGTTAAAATGATCACTGCAAAAAATCTCATGTGAAAATATTTTTCCAAATATTACATCTACTTATGCATGATATTTTGTGTTGACTTGTTAAATAAAAAAGGTTTTTACTGTAAACATACAATAACAAGTATTTTGTTGTATACAATGCCATAAATAAGTGCAAATAATGAGATGAGAACCTTTTTTATTTCCTTGTATTACTGAATAGTTAACTAACCTAAAAATGTCATTAACATGACATCAGTAGCTATCGGTAACAAGGAAACCTCAACTTGAAATTCAAATGATGAAAGATTTCTTTAAGATACTTAAAAATTAAATAAAAAAATCTCATAAAATCATAACGTACTTGTAAACTAAAGATCCTGAACATTCCATAAATGTATAATACTTATATATTTCCTTGAACTTAAAAAATATCTTAAAACTGATTATTATTTTTAACCGACTTCAAAAAAAGAGGAGGTACTTAATTCGACTGTATGTGTTTTGTTTTCCTAGGTAAACCGACTTTGATGAATCTTTTTTATTTTAAAAACTGTTTCTCATGTAATTCCATATAAATTTGATTAAGACCTGACCAGTAGTTTTCAGTTATCCTTAATAACGCCTGTTTAATTTACTTCGACTACATTGGTGATGTTCTCATTTTATTTATATTGAAGTCGGTAATAATTTTATTTTTATTTTATCTCTTGTTTCCCTATTATATTGAATAGCTCTATCTTTTCGGAATATAAAACAATCAAACGGTTATAGTAACTCGACTTTTGTCCGAACCGTTTTTGAGATGGGTCACACCGTTTGGTTCCATAGTGCGACGCGGCGGCCATCTATCGATAAAAATAATTAGCGGGCCGCAATTTGTAAGGAATTTGGGAACCCTGATTTTTATCAGATTAAACAAAGTAGATCGGTTATATTCCAGTATCGGAGATCTCAAACTGAAACATTAATGTGGACTCTTCGACAATTGTATTTTTTTATTCTGTCTTATTCTATTTATTCTTTTCTTTAATTATATTGGCAACTTTCTACTGGTAGTGGAATGTTGAGAATGAGTTTATGGGAATAATAAATATAATATTGTTCATAGTCAAGTTCGTTTTCTTAAATACTCAAGGCATAATTATCATTAAGTTAAGATCAATATTTACAAGGATATTTAGCGGTTCTGATACTAGAATCAAAAGTGGCACTAACGAAAATCGTCTAGGAATCTACTTACAAGTAATACCACTTTTGTATATTTTTATGTCTATAAAGATATTATTTTTATTAGTAACATTCAAATTCAATAAATATAGGAATATTTAATACACAACTTTTATGGGCCTCATTCACTTTCTTCTCGGTTTACCTATAAACTATGTTAAAAACACCCTGTCTGTTATATTTATCGTAGTGTGTCCATCTTTTAGAGTAGTACCAACACTTTTATAAATAAAAGGGTATCAAAGACCCTGGTGGGTTATTTCATTATTTACAATAAAATAAGAAAATATGTACCACAACGTAAACATTGTAAAGTTTAAAATCGATTATATTCTCATGTCCACAACGCTGTGGGCATCATACCCTCCATGGAGGTATTCCTCGGCGTTAGCACTTCGTTGCAGAGGAAATCAAGTGGCAAATCGACTATATACCCTTGAATAAGGTCTATTTTCCTGTTGGCTTGTACAGGATCTTTGCGCCATAGAGTTTCGCTGTGTTCCTCTTGATAACGTTTCAGTTCGGCGAAAGAGTGCACCGCGTCTGTTGGAATTGTGTGAAATACCTGAAATAATACATAAATAAATATAATTATTTTCTAAAATTTCAAATAAATCTGCAAATAATGGAAATATAATATCTTCATGAAATGAAAACGTGAAAACACAAATACACATATACGGTGTTAAAATAAACACACCGTTGTAGCGACACGTTGTATATATATATATATATACAATATGTAACGTAATTAACGCACACCCTTAGACACCCCAATTAGTATATTATGTTATAATCATAGTGCATACACTGAATTTTTAGTTAAACATTTTTATGCACTGATTATTTATCAACTTAGTTATACTAATTCGGACTTAGTTATACTAATTCCGATGATATCCCGGACGTCAGTCTGAGCGAGATTAGAATGGCTCTCCAGCACCTTAAAAACGGCAAGTCCCCGGGCGAGGACGGAATTACAGCGGAGCTTCTGAAAGCGGGTGGAACACCGGTACTTGAAGTCCTTCAGAAGCTCTTCAATTCCGTCCTCCATGGTGGCACTACTCCGGAGGCGTGGAGCGGAAGCGCGGTGGTCTTGTTCTTTAAGAAAGGCGACAACGCTCTCTTGAAGAACTACAGACCGATTTCCCTTCTGAGCCGCGTCTACGTGCTGTTTTCAAAAGTCATTACGAATCGTCTCGCACGCAGACTCGACGACTTCCAGCCTCCCGAACAAGCCGAAAAGGCTTCAGTACCATAGACCACATACATACCCTGCGGCAGATTGTACAGAAGACCGAAGAGTACAATCTGCCACTTTGCCTGGCATATGTGGACTATGAGAAAGCCTTTGATTCCGTCGAAATTTTGACGGTGCTACAGTCCCTTCAGCGGTGCCAAGTTAACTGTCGGTATATCGAGGTGCTGAAGTGTTTGTACAGTAGGGCTACGATGGCTATCCGAGTACAGAACCAGAGTTCGAAACCTATCCAACTGCAGAGAGGTGTAAGACAGGGTGACGTTATATCCCCGAAACTATTCACCGCTGCGTTGGAAGACGTTTTCAAGCTACTGGCCTGGAAAGGATACGGTATTAGCGTCAATGGCGAGTATATCACTCACCTTCGATTTGCCGACGATATAGTCCTTATGACAGAATCGCTGCTGGAGGACTTAAGCACTATGCTCAATGATCTCAATGGTGTCTCCCAACGGATCTTGACATGAACATGGACAAAACAAAGATCATGTTTAATGTCCATGTCACACCTATGCCGGTAGTTGTTGGGAGCACTATGCTCGAAGTTGTTGACGAGTATGTTTACTTGGGACAAATAGTCCGACTAGGTAAGTCCAACTTCGACCGAGAGGTCAATCGACGGATTCAACTCGGCTCGGCTGGGTTCGGGAAATTACGACACATATTCTCGTCAGGTATACCTCAATCTCTGAAGACTAGATTGTACAACCAGTGCGTGTTGCCAGTGATGACTTACGGATCTGAGACGTGTTCCTTCACTGCTGGCCGTATGAGGACGCTCAAGGTCGCTCAGCGATCTATGGAGAGGGCTATGCTCGGAATTTCTCTGCGTGATAGACTCAGAAATGAGCATATCCGCAGTAAAACCAGAGTGACCGACATAGCCCAACGGATTAGTAATCTGAAGTGGCAATGGGCCGGCCATATAGCTCGAAGAACCGATAACCGATGGGGAAGAAAGGTTCTCGAGTGGCAGCCTCGTACCGGTAGGCGTTAGTGTAGGGCGACCCTCCACTAGATGGAGTGACGACCTGGTAAGATATGCAGGAAGTCGATGGATGCAGGTGGCTCAGGACCGTGCTTTGTGGCGTTACTTGGGGGAGGCCTATGTTCAGCAGTGGACTTGTGAAGGGCTGTAATGATGATGATGATGATGATTATACTAATTCCGGAAGAATGTTGTGGTCACAGTACAAATACACAAACGCAAAGACTTTAACGTGCTTGAAATAAAGTTCATTTTTATTTATTTTTATTGAATGACAGAGTTCGTAATAATACAAATAAAACTGCACTCTTAAAAGTCTTATTGCCTTAAGTTACGGTCCATTTCAGTTTGTTTTGACTGTAAAGATTTAGTGTGACTGTAATTTACGTAGTTTTAATTATTTTTGGGATAAAAAATTACCTATATTAAAAATGATAGGAATCGATTCAGTAAACGATTCTGAACAAACTACTTTCTCAAAGTGCGTTAATTATGTTACATGTTGTATATACGAGGGCGGCACTGAAAATTTCGGGAATCAAGGAAGTGACACAACATTACTATTTAAAAATGTATTTATTGCTTTTCGAAGTATTCTCCGCGAAATTTGACACATTTTTTCATACGATGGAACCAATCATTGAAGCAACCATTCCATTCGGAAGTTGGGGTCTCAAAAATGGCAGTTTTGTAGGCGTCCACAGCTTCTTCAGGTGATGATTCAGGTGATCTCTGTCCACGCAATTTATTCTTTATTTTAGGGAAAGTATAGAAAACATTAGAGCTTAGGTCGGGGCTGTACGGCGGATGGTCTAATAATTCTATGTTTTCTTGCTCTAAAAACTCTTTTGTTCTGTGTGCGGTGTGAGAACTCGCATTGTCGTGATGGAGGATGATGCGGCGGTTGCAGTTCTCTTTACGGAGTTCAGAAACGACCTGTGCACACAAATGCTAGCATACCGTTCTGCATTAACCGTTCTTTGTCCCTCAAGATGAATAGTCGTAACATGGCCGGTTTTGGAGACAAACGTGGCCACCATTTTTTTTGCAACACTCCGTGAACGAACAATTTTTGTTGGCTTTAACTCATTTTCGAACACCCAAAATCGTGACTGCTTTTTTGTTTCGGGTTCGTACGCGTATATCCAGGATTCGTCACCTGATACGATGTTGTGTACAGCATTTGAGGATCCTGCGTGGAATCTTTCGAGAGTTCTGACGCACCAAGTAACGCGAGCCGCTTTTTGCTCTTCACAGAGCGAATGCGGTGCTTGGGTGACTCCAGTTTTTGAACGACCTTGACGGGGATCATCACTGAGCTTGACACGTCCACGTTGAATTTCAGCAAACCAGCGATAAATTGTGGTTTTGGATGGAGCTTCATCACCAAATGCAGAAATCATCCGGTCAACACACTGTTTTTGTGTTAAACCACTTCGAAAGTCATAATAAATCATCGCTCTTGAATTTTCTCGAGTCAATTCCATTTTCTCAATGACTAAACAAGTTTGACAAAACCTTGTGACAAGATCGATAATCTTTTTTTTAAATAAATAAATGGTATTCGATTTTTAAAACCAAGGAGTTTTCAATTAAAAAGATTTTAATGTGACAGGAACAGTGAAAATATTCCATTTTAGTGCAGCCCTCGTATATATGTATTTCTTCTTGACTAACAGTTTGTAATCGCTTTATGAAAAACGTAATTTAAATGTAAAACTGTTGTCTGCTATTTTCTTCCAGTTAAATCGTACAGGACAAGACTTGTTAACGATGACATATACTCCACACTAAGCATAGGTGAAGGTGAGGAAGTCTCGTTACTTCACAGTGACAAAATCTATTTGTTCATCATTATCATTACCCTGTCTCCTCTAACAAGAAATCCCACAGTCACTCAATCTAGGATTCGTTCTTCACTCCGCTAACTAACTTTGTATTCTGTTGTTATAAAAATATGTTGACATTCTTTTAAATCATTATCGTTACAGCCCTTCACAACTCCATTACTGAACGGAGCCCCCCCCCCCCAGGAATACTACAAGGCACGGTCCTGAACCACCTGCATCCATGAACTCCCCGCATCCCTTACCAGGTTGTCATTTCACCTAGTGAGGAACCGGCCTAGACTTCGCTTACTGGTACGAGGATACCGCTCGAGAATATTTATTCCACAGTGGTAGTCGGTTCTTCGAGTTATATGGCCGGCTCACTGCCATCTTATCCTATTGATCCGTTGGACTATGTCGATTACTCTTTTGTTTCATAGCCCTCTCCGTAATGCGCCCGAGCGACTTTTTACATTCACCTAATTATAGATAGTTTAATATTGGACCATTTTTATATTCCGCGACAAATTACGATACGGGAAACATGGAACAATCCGGGTGTTTACAATTTATATAATTGTTTTCTTAGTTTTAAAATTAATCGAAATATTTAATTCAGGCTTTCACATGCATTTAGTATTTCAGTTGCGGTTACGACTATAGCTTATTAAGAGGTTAGAGTAAGTCAGCTCAAATTCTAATTTTGCCCCCACTTCCCCGCGCGTCGTATGCTATGTACCGAAATATTTGTAATCACTAATACTGTAAGTAGAAAGGTCGTTAGACACTTATTTCATTAGGTTTATCATATTTATGCCTGTTTCTTAAAGCCAGGCCAGCCGCTTCTTATTTTTATCACGGTTATTTCCCATTTTAATTTTACGTCGTACTGTTGCGTAATGTATATTCTGATCGTAAGCGACACAACTTCTCCCTTCAAAAGCCTAAGCGATACTAACGGAACGACAGGAATCAAGCTCAAGACGCCGATAGTTTAGGTAATTTCTTTTTTACAGTGAAAATAATGGTATTTAAAAAAAAGTAAATAACATAAGCACTGCTTTATAGTTAGTTCAGTTAGTATGCAAAGTTTCATGATCTTATTTAAAGTATTTTATGAATAACAGCGGTTTATTGTTTATTTTGGAGGTAACTTTGGATTTTTTTTCTATCGAGAAAATTTTACGAAATCGTGTTTTCGTCTAACATAATCACTAACATTAATCCTCAACTTTACCATATATTTATTTCAAAATTAATGCTGCAATATTTTCGGCATAACGAAGGATCTTGCTAAGCCATTTGACATTATATTTCCCCTTAAGATCAACTGCTAAACATGGACCTCCCCCCAAAGATTATATTAGGGGGGATTTTTGCCACAGTTGCTACGCTTGGTAACCGGATTGGCAATCGCCGTAATGTCGTGTGCCATATAGTAGCGGTGTAAGAATTAATGGCGATTCAATTAGCGCATAGCGCCATATTATAGCGCGCTATCTTTTGATACCGCACAGCGCATGCTATGTAAGTAGCCGTAATGGCGCCATTAAATATTAATATCTAGCGGTAACTACTAACTAGTTCTAGCAGCAGCGCTGTTGGGAGCGGACGTGTGACGCAAATTTGATCTCGTAGCGCGCTATTCATCGCGCGCGACCTAATTTAGTGTTAGACGTTGTTTAGTTGGTGTATATAAGTGATAGATGGACACGCTAGTCTGCTACAAAAGTAGCCTAACTAATGTTTTTAAATGTAATTAAAAAACAGATACACAAGTGTATATAACAGTATATGTAAACATTTGATTTTTGTATATGTAATGTAACGTGCTACGAGATTCGGCGTGCTACAAAACTTTACGCGATTGCCGGCCTCACACACGCTTTCTTATAAATAACATAACGTATTTAATGGCGCGCTAGAATTTTATAGTTTATAGTCAGTAGCGTGCTATTGATTTATATTAGTTTTGAACAACTTAAGTAAGAATATCCACTGCCCCATATCAAACCCGTGGCCTTCATAAGAATCTATGGAGGGAAACATTCAGGAGATGAGCAGCATCGTCATCTTAATAAAGACTAAAAATTTTGTCCTGCAGAAAAATAAAACTCTACACGACTTAACATGTTTGTAGTATAACTTGTCATATTTATAAATCACTGCGACATATAACACCTCCCCAGATAAGACTTATTGTAAAAACCTAACCAACAAAACTAACCTCCTCGTAGATTTGGGTGTTTTGGGTGGAGGTGGCCTTCCAAACGTGTTTATAGAATTGGTCACTGCAAGGATCATCCAGACTCAAGCCGTAACGGGCGGGATCGGTGTCCATGTAGCCCAGGTGTTCGCGGAACAGTCGCTTACGAAGCGTCCCAGCAAACCGACCGCAAGGAAACGCCTCCCCATTCATAGTACCGTCGTCGAACTGCTCGTCCTGGGTACGAATGAAATTAGTTGCAATCTTTATTTTTCGACATGTGATATAACATTTGTTCTCAATTGAATAAAACTATTATTTACGGATTTTATTTAATTGTATATAATAATTACTTAAGTAATTAAACGCGATAAAATACATAAATAATAGTTTTATTCAATGTGTAGTGTTCGCGTAAATTTAAGAAATCATTTTGTTCTCAATTTTCATTAGCTGTACTGTCGGACAATATCTATATGTATGTCTCTTTTCTTCTTTATTAGAAGCACACAGCTGGAAATAAATTTATTATTAATGAATTAATTTATTCGTCGTGTATAATAATAATAACATAAATATATTCTGTCGGTGTTGGTATAAAATTTATGTATAACAGCTTTTTCCTTATTTGTTATTCTGTTATTTTTTTAGTAGTTTGACCTAAAGCGACGAATAAATAAATTCATTTATAATGCGCCAGTTTCTAACTGTGTGCTGTGTATAGACTAATAAAGAAGAAAACTTTAACTAATGCCTAGGCCACACACATCGTGATAGAATTATCGCGACCAAACTTTGCCTTCGACCTACGGCGAAGGTGCCTGGCCACACTGCGCGCTGTAGTTTATCGTATTGAATTTATTTGTATAGAATAGAAGGTTGTAAAATTGAATGTATGAAGCAGAATCACCGACAGAGATGATTTTGATGATTTTTATCAAATAAATGTATACGCCCACGACAAAGGTACAACTTGTTCAACAAACCTGGATCAGAACAGCGATTTCGGAGTCCCTCTTTCCGATCATAGACCTGTCATTGATGTTGGCACTGCCGCAAATCACCGTCTTGTCGTCAGCGATCAACAACTTCGAATGGACGTAAATAAGCTCGGTGATCGGTTCGCCGTCGAGTTGCGAGTGTGTACGAAGCCCGTGGAACGTTATATAATCCGACGGGTCTGAGATACCCGCTTCGTATAAACGCGTTAATATAGCTTCACGACTCCTGAAAAGTTACAATCGCTTTATAAAACAAAAGCTCTAAAAACATATTTTTCAAAACACCCATTACATTACGTGGGTATCGTAAGAGGCGATCATAGAATATTCTAAAAAAAAATCTCTTGTTCTTTGACAGACGGCGATATAACCATATCGTTTAGAGGCCGCAGACTTACAATTATCAGTTGGCCGACTAGATCGCAGAGCATATCAATAGGTATAGTGACATATGCTAGCCCACACATCTTGTCCAACTAAATCGTCCAACTAATTAATTGGACACCGATCGTATCAGAATCAAGATTCCCTTCCGATTACGCACAATTAAAAAGTTGTCCAACTATCGGCCAACTGCTCGTTAGCACGGTTACCTTATACAAGCTCGCGGACTATCCAACTTTGTTGGTTAGTCGCACGGCAAGGTGCAAGACGAACCGTTGCGCGCGTTTGATTTCCCTACGCTCGGATTTAGACCTTCGCCGACGGGTTCCACATCAGCCCCCCGATTTTTTTTATTTATTTATTCTTAATTGTAACACCTTACAACTAAGGTAACAATGGGCGTATTAAATGATTCTCGGCATTCTCTACAAGTCAACCCGTAGTGTGGTGAGCTATTATGGCTGGTGGAAACTCGCTTTATGATCTTTGGATTATTTTTATTTAGGTACCAATGTATGACAATTTAATCTATGTTATTGCCAAATACATCATTTGATATCATTCAACCTAGTACTTCACAATTTCCAAGAGCTTCCAGGCGCATTAACTTCCGTTCATATTATCTCTGATCAATTTATCCAGCTAAACCGTAGTCGTTCAGTCCGTTCCACACGACAAATTTAACACAGCATCCAACAGAATCTCATCAGCAGTCTATCACAGGGCCACAGGATACAATACCATCTAATTTGCAACTTCCAAGTCCATCTCCAAAAAGTCAAACACCGTCCCCTCCACATGATTATGATGTTATTATTTCATACTGGTCAAACTTCTCAGAGTCGGAATCAGAACTAAATGAATTATAAAATATAACATATTTTTGCACTAAATTGTCTCAAATTTGATTATACTCGTAGGTATAGAAAATCGATAAAAAATGAGTTATATGTTTATTAACCTAGCAGATACTTAACAGAGAGTTAATTCAAGCCTCTCTTCAACGGTGATAGCAAGTCGGGAAGTTGTATCCCGTTTGACTATCGCTGGCCCGGTTAGATATACGAGCTCATCAAAAGACGAAATTCTCATTCTTTAGAATGAAAAAAATATATCTGGGTAACATCCGAGTTTATAGTGCAAGGTATGATGTTTCCCACATTCTAATCTGTCACTTTAGAATGCACCCAAAATGTTCTCTTTTATTTTCGTCTTCTTTTTATTATTAAAGCAAATTTTCTGTACGTGGTGGAGCCCCGCTGCAGCTATATTATGGTTGTAGCACAATGTGTCGCCTCGACTGGGGAAGGACCCTCACAGTATACCAGTGTAAAATAGCAGCTAAAAGTTGCTGTTTTTTGTATGGTGAGTGTAGAGATCCGGAGGCCCTTTTTACTGGAAAGGAGGCATTCCATCTTAGTCCTCACGGGTGACAACGCATCTGCTTTTTGATTCGTAATCGAAGATAGATGTAGATGTCTACGGGCCACAGCAACCACTTACCATCAGGTGGATTGTGTGCTCGTTTGTAACCCTATCCTTTAAAAAAAAATAAAGAGCGTTTTTTTCCGCATTATCACGCACATGCACCGCGCTGGCAACACTGTCACGGACTAAATCGATTAAGTCTGCGGCTAGCAACCAATAAAAAAAAAGTTGGTCGATTAAATTATAAAAGTACGCAATTTAGTCGTTTGATAGTTGGCCAACTTACAATTGTATGTCTGCGGGAGCACACATAAAATCTGAAGCTGCCCCCTGCCAGTCTACATAGCAGCAGCGTCACAGGTAAGAGACGTCTGGTAATATGAGGACTCAACCTACAATCGGAGCAGCCACGTCCATCAGTGGACTGTTATGGGTAGATAACGAAAACAAAGAAGTAAGAAAACTGTAAGACTGAAGAAATGTCATCTTACGTGTTTTATGAAATATGGACCCTCACACGATCGGCTAAACTAGGCTTTTACAAATGTACAAAAATGAATGTTTAAGCTAATGTGTCATACAGTGATCATGACAGTTCGCTGGAGGATTTAAGCACTATGCTCAATGAACTATCTAATAGCAGGCCTGTCTCATCCCGCGCTTTATGCATGAAAATACCTACGCTGCGCGGCCACCTTCAAGGGGCTGATTCCGTGAGGTTGTCACTCGCGCGCTCGAGCTGACGCGCCTTATATTAAAAAAAAGTATTTTCTCTTTTGGTATTTTCTCTTTTGATATTTATTTTTGAGTTTTTATTCAAGTATGACTTCTCAAAAAGACTAAAGGTACTGCATAGTATACAGCTGCTTAAATAACAATAGGAATGTCGACTTTTCGTTCATTACTGTTCCTAGTTATACCGACAGTAACTATTTACAAACAAATACGTATTAAAATCTGTCTGTCAACACAGCGAATAGGGTTGGTAGTAATGATAATACTACGTTTTAATTGCTTGTATGTGTGCTCCCGGCGACGCCTATCCTCGTACAAAATAAGGTTGACAGCCATTCTATTGTGTATTATAGTATTCTATGTTTTTTAAACTTTATAAAAGTTAATTTTATTACTTTTTTGAGGAGGGAGAGGACAGATTTTTTTTAAAGTAGTCGACATTAAAACAATCCTCCATTATTTTGCCACCCATAAAGGCGGAATTTACTTTCGAATTCATATAATATATAACAAATTATTTCACATTCTGATTGCTTTAATTTTTCTATACACCAAATTTATTATCGACTTTAGAATGCGAAATAATTTTATTTTAGTTCTTCGAAATCAGCTATCACAATTAACTAAAAAAAGTTTAATTATTAAAATAAAATGGTAACCCTAAAGTAAATACAAAATGGCGGCAGAGACGTTCGCTTTACGCAGTCAGGTTAATTGATATTTTTAATGGACTTTTTTAAACAAAAAAAAAATACTAGCATTTGCTATTCACATTACTAATAATCCCTGTAACCACTGCTGGTAAGCTTAAAATGCTTGTGTTACGAGTTGTTTATGATAGTAGTCCACCCCCATCCCACGACCTATATAGTTAGCGGTCCGTATCTTGCCATTAGGTTACTGTCGCTTCAAATGAACTTTTTATGGGATGTGTTTTAGCAGTAGCGGGAGGCGGTACCTGCAGATGCTCTGGTAGTTCCAGTGCGTGACGGCGTGCAGCGAGGTGCCGGAGGGCGCGCCAACCTCGCCCTCGAAGCCGGGCAGTAGCGGCATCACCACGAACACGCGGAACCGCTGCCCCGCGCGGTGCGCGCGCATGATGCGGTTGAACAACGCCTCCCCTATCTGACAACCAGCTATGAGTATTATAAACGTATGTTACACACTCTTGGAAACTTGAACTTGTTAAAAACTAATTTGCTTATATCCGCGTAAGGGTGTTCGATAAGCTGATACCTCGAAAACTTGGTAGTTTTTCTATTTCACATATGTCTTTAACTTATACAGATTACAAAGGAAATTTTTGGTGTATTAATTATGGATTTGCATACAAGGAAAACACGATATCATGTAATTTTCTCAAGAGAAAGCTCTTGTAAAGTAGGCTCTAAGTAGTTACATTTCTCCATGCCACCGCAGTATTGTTACGAATAAGTTATGGAAATTAATTTCTCATAAACCATTTTTAATCCATAAGGAAATTTTCTTAAAAAAATTAACTTTGTGTGGCGCTTACTTAGTTTATTTCCGAGCGCGTGCTATATATAACTATCTCATAATTTGCGTACATGAAGTAGATTGTATCACTGTCATTTTGACTCCCTCAGTCGTCCGTGAGCTTCACTGACAAAGAGCTAAGCCACGCCCCCAAAACTACGATTCGATGTGGTTGAGGGCTCATTATCAGTATCATTCAAATTATATTCAGAATAGGCGGCGGTATTGTTGATCAGTAAGCTCTTGCTTGTATTTTTATCACGGAGACGCAAACCAGAAGACTCTGGATGCGACCGTTTTTTAAGGCCAGAGATCGCTTGTTTCATCTAGATAACATTTTAAATAACGGTTGATGAAGCGGGGCGTCGATTACTTCATTCTACCATTGATCGATCGATTAGTGTGGTAACACCTTCATGAAGTAAAATGTGTCTTACTTGGTTGAGGAGCACCTCCCGCCCTCCTTCAATTGCGTGCACTATCCCCGTCACCACTAATCTCAGCACCACTACTCTCAACACCACAATAGGAAGAGCCACTCTGCGGTGGCTGACCGTTAAATCACTTAGTCATCGAAACGTCTATTTTCTTTATAACGTATAGATATAGATTATACATAACTCTCATAACTGTTTATTTCTTATATCGTTCCGCAACATTACAATGTTGCGATTGCAAAAAACTAACCTATTTTTCAAGTTGGGCCAAATTGCACACGGTGTGCAAATTTGATTCAAATCGGTTAAGTAGTTTAGGAGTCCATCGCGGACAAGCAACGTGACACGTAATTTATTAAGATTAAGATATGTTCAATAAAGTGGGATTATCGCTAAACAGCTATTTCTTCCAGACAATTCTTGGTGAAGGGGATCATTTTTATTTAAACTTAATAATATACTATAGGGTTATTTTTCAAAGAGGAGCCAAATTTTACATTGAAGTTCAAATTAATATCGTATATAATATCGGCTTATATTTTAAAAAAAATTACTCGTCACGTTCTGTCTCCCGGAGTGGCGAAAAGTGGATTGCAGAGGCCCGTCTGGCTACGTTGAATGTATGTGGGGCAATGAATGATAAAATGGATGAAGTATGCGAGGTGATGTATGATAGAGGAATAGATGTTTTATGTGTAAATGAGACGAAAAGTAAGGGGAAGGATGTCACTACACATGGCATGTATACCGCATACTGGTCTGGTGTAGACGAGATTGAGCGGGCATGCCAAGGAGTAGGTATCATCCTTTCAGAGAGAATGGGCCTATGTGTGAAAGAGTATGAATGTGTAAGCCCAAGACTGCTATGGATACGAATGAAAGTGGGCTTAAAGAAGTTGTTTGTGCTAGGGGTCTACGCCCCAGACATGTCTAAGCCCACTTATATCCGAGCGCAGTTTTGGGAAACGGTAAGGATGGTGTTAATGAAATGTAAGGGAAATGAAAATATTATTATGCTAGGAGATTTTAATGGAAGGGTTGGGGTGAGGAGGCTTGGTTATGAAAGGATATTGGGAACGTTTGGTGATGAAAGTATAAATGAGAATTGTGAAAGCCTCCTCACCGTATGTATGGAAAAAGAATCTTTTTGTGACGAACACTTGCTTTCGCCACAAGAGGATTCACATGTATACTTGGGAAAGAGGTGATGATAGAAGCATGATAGATTTCATAATTGTGGATGAAAGAATGAGGGGCGCAGTGATAGATACAAGGGTTTACCGGGGTCTAACGTAGGAACGGATCATTATTTGGTTTTATGCCGAATTAATGGCCTATTAAGGCGTTGGCGCCATCGGTCACCTGTGTCTACCATCTGCGTTACAGCACATTAGAACTGAAAGGTTACAAGAGGAAGGTGAGAAAAACAAGTTCAAATTTAGACTGAAAGAAAATGTAAGTGGTTTGGATGAATTATATATGAATAAGTTAGACTTGGAGAATGTATGGCAAAATGTAAAGAAAGGTTTAGTGGATGCAGCTACCAAAGTATGTGGTGTTAGTAAGAGAAAGAATGAAAGGAAAAATAATACGTTATGGTGGGATGATGAGATAGGTATGGAAGTTGAAGCAAAGAAGAGAGCATGGCTAGATTTACTAGCAACAAAGGCTGGTAATTCTAGCGGTACGAATGATGAGATTGAAGAGAAAAGGCAGTCTTTAGACATCTAAATAAGAGAAGTAAAAGAAGTAGTTGAAAGGAAAAAGCAAGAAAGAACGGATAAGAATGATAGAAGAATATCGGATAACTTCCAGGCAAATATTAAAATGTTCTGGAAACTCGTAAGAACTGCCAGGGGACATTCAAAACAGCCTATAATGAATGCTATAAGAGATGAGAATGGCTATATTCTGAATGATGAAGTTTTCAGTTTAAAGAGATTTAAGGAATATTTTGATAGCGTTTTTATGAGTGGACAACGTATAAAATGAATGAAATAGAAACTCCGAAAGAAGAGGAAGGAGGTGGCGAGATAAGTATAGATGAAATAATGAAAGCAATGAAAAGCATGAAAGCAAGCAAAGCTGCCGGATATGATAGAGTTTCACTCGAAATGCTAAGGGCTGGAGAGGAAGTGGTGGCAGGCCTGCTGCACACCTTGTTTAATTTCTGCTGGGAACTGAAGCTGGTACCGGTAGACTGGTGCAAAGCCGTGATAGTCCCAGTATATAAAGGAAAAGGGTCGCAGCAGGACTGTAAAAACTACCGTGGTATCAGCCTTCTTAGCATTGTGGGAAAACTGTATGCTAAGGTACTGTTTGAAAGGGTTATGAAAGAAACCGATGAAAAAATTTGGGATGTGCAAGCGGGATTTAGAAAGGGAATGGGATGTACAGATCAAGTCTTTTCCATGCGCATGATCGCGGAGAAGTTTTTGGCGAAAAACCAAAAAGTTTTTTGTGCGTTCATGGACTTGGAAAAGGCCTATGACAGAGTGGATAGGGATGAGCTATGGCAAACACTGAACTCATTTGTGTTGAACGCTGGCTTGATACAGGCATTGGAGTCGCTTTATAGGGACTCTAATGCATGTGTTAGGTTCAACGGGGCCTACTCGGTCTGGTTTGGCATCCATAAAGGTGTCAGACAGGGCTGTGTGGCTTCCCCGTGGCTGTTCAACCTATTTATAGACAGTTGTTTGCAAAATTTGAAAGTTGAAGAATGCGGATTAAGAATGGTTGAGTTAACCGTCAAATGCCTTTTGTACGCCGATGATCAAGTTATTCTTGCGTCGTCGGCGGCCGAGCTGCAAATGATGGTTACATTAATGAACAGATCATTAAAAGAAAGGGGTATGAAAGTGAACGCAAGTAAGACGAAAGTTATGGTTTTTGAAAGAGAAGAAAGTAAGACGATATGTGAAATAAGAATAGAAGGGGAGTTGATCGAGCAAGTAGATGAGTTTGTATATCTGGGTTGCGTATTTAGCAGGGATGGGAGATGTGATAAGGATATAGAACGACGAGTGAATGCAGGAAATAGAATAAATGGGGCCCTACACTCTATTGTGAAGAGTGAAAATGTGTCGAAAAAGGCACGTAAGGCAATTCACAATGCTGTGTTGGTCCCTACTTTAACGTATGGTAGTGAAAGTTGGGTGTGGCTGAAGAAGCACGAGAGTAGAATGAACGCAGTAGAAATGCGGTCGTTAAGGAGTATGTTAGGGCTGAATCTGAATGACAGGGTGAGAAATTGTGTAATATGAGAAGAGTGTGGTTTGCAAGATGATGTTGTGACCAGGATTAAGAAAGGAATGCTTCGGTGGTTTGGTCATGTGGAAAGAATGAATGAGGAAAGAGTGACAAAGAAAATTTATGTTGCAGAACTGAATGGCAGAGTCGGAAAGGGACGTCCAGGCGAAAATTTATCGACCAAATTGGCGATTTATTGAAAACGGGCCAAATTAGGAGTACCCTTAACCGACGAGCATGTATGCGTAGGTGTATGGATGTGAAGGAGGCGAGAGAGGTGTGTCAGGATCGTGCCAAATGGAAGTCTGTAGTCTCTGCCTACCCCTCTGGGTGACAGGCGTGAGTGTTTATGTTTATGTTATGTTATTATAAGCCGATATTACATTTTTTGAAAATACGAGTATTCACCCGGTTGTAAGTGGCCATAAAAGTCTATTAACTTCTTAGTATAGTGGCCCGTGAGTCATATGTTACTTTTGTTATAAAAGCACCCCATACCTGATTCCTCACAGAGACATTAGTCCGGGACAGCGTGATGAAGAACTGGTTTTCTATGTAGATGTAATGCTGGGCTCTCGTGATGGTGTCGACGTACGCCTCGTGTATACTCTGCTCCACGGTGTCCGGGTCCAGGAACCCACACGACCAGCACGACACACTACGCAGCACCTGGAATTGTTGTTGCAGTTTCCCCTGAGTATTACGTGGAACTTCGAAAAGAAAATATCGGTTATAATTAATTTTGTAATGGAGATAGACATTTTTCACTCACTATAAATTATATAATTTACCACTGCTTCGGAAAATACCTCTGTCCTGGGAAGAAACCAGCAAGAAACCCAGTGAGACATTTACAATAAAAATAAAACAGTTTAAAATTATAGGAGGGGCGGCTGAAAAGTTTTGAGTCTAAGTACCTTAAGTGTTATTATTGTCTCGCGCTATATATTATAAATTTGCGAATGCCCTCTTTAGTACACATACAGTTTCATACCATTAGCAACATTACTCTTTCGAAATCGAAATCGATAAATTGATAAAATAAATGGCATTTGAAGATTGTTTGAAAAAATCCTAAATGACGCCATATTAAGGTGGCTCAAGTCGCGGGCTCGAACTCATTGGTGGGCGCGGCCAAAAAGCACGTTGTCTCACCTGGCATCGCGCCCGACAGAGATAGTACCAGTGAAGAGCAGTTAGAACGCATGTCTTGTTCGTACGGCGTTCCGAACCGTTAGAACAAAAACGAAGTTACACGAACACGATGCACACATACATACCACCCTATTCTGTGCCGCTCGACGCTTGCTAAGAAATCAGCAGTACCTACCTACAAACTCGTACTAAATTATTAGGCACTGGGGTCTGCGTACGTTATCGCTTTATACTATACCTCTATGGCTCTATAGATACCTAATATAGATTGCTTATTTTATTATGTTTTGTTTTCCCCGGGTGGTCATGCAGCGACCACTCAAGTGTTCACGACGCCGAAGCATGAACTGGAACAGTCATCGCAATTTATATCCGTACTAGCTGTTGCCAGCGGCTTCAAACGCGTGAACTCGAAAATTATCCCACAGGAACGAAATACCTGAATAAACGGTATCAAAAAATGTGTTATTCCAGACCAGGTATAACCTATCTCTGAGCTAAATATCATCCAGATCCCTTCAGCTGTTCTGGCGTGATTGAGTAACATACATCTATCCATCCAAACTTTCGCATTTATAATATTTAGATAATAATTGTAATTAGTTCTGCCTACCTATAAATTGTTTTCAAAAATACTTACCTGTCTTCTTACTTTTTTTATATACACACAATATCATTAGATGTAAACACATGTTTTTATCAAGACAAGTGACCCGTCAAGACTGTTTCCTTAGTACCGACGTACTTAGGCAGGTAGTAGTAGGTAGGCAAAAACGATTACTACTCAAAAACTAAATAGGTACCTACCTAACATTCAAATAAAAATATTCTCAAAAAGCTCAACCAATTCAGAATTTAATTTTGTTAAAAGAAAATTGGTCAAATAAAAAATAAAGGATGAAAATAAAGCATATGGGAATATAAAAATAAATCGTATTTATTTGAATAAAACTATTATTTACGGATTTTATCGCGTTTAATTACTTTAATTTATTTTTATTTCGGGGCGCTGTAAAGCACCCGAAACGTCGGGATAATAATAAAAATAAATTAAAGTAATTAAACGCGATAAAATCCGTAAATAATAGTTTTATTCAATGTGTAGTGTTCGCGTAAATTTAAGAAATCGTATTTATTTGTTATTTCGAGTTTTACAAGAAAAGCATAATATTTACTGGAGAGAATTATTTTATTATTATAATAGTACATGATATTCCCTTTAAAATGACACCAATATGAATAATATCTTATATCTATACTTATCTACAAATAAATAAAATTTAAGTGTCTGCTTGTAATGTTAAAATAACAGCTTTTTATTAAATGCATATGAAAGTACTAGTAACAAAAACACATTTTTTAAAATTTCAAACACCACAATCTCTAATTTTTTACTCTGCTATCTTCAGCGCTGTACACGAACGGAACGATGTCGTTGAGAGCCGTGGTAGCTCACATGGTTAGCGCTCGTTATAGGTATCACAGTATGGGAGCAACCCGGGTTCGATTCCCACTGGCCCCAATGAAATTGTTGCGTGCTGATTTAGCTATCAGTTGGAAAGTCTGTTTTTCTGGGCCGTTTTGTTTTGTTACACTGACATCTCGCAAGTCACCTAGGGACCTAGGAGGTTGTCGGTTGCTTATTTTTTATTTTTCTTTAAAATTTTCGTCGGTAAAATAACATATTTATAAAAGTAAAAAAAAGTAAAGTTACAGCCTATATACGTCCCACTGCTGGGCACAGGCCTCCTCTAATTTCTGAGAGGGTTTTAAGGCAAGGAAATGTCCGCCACGCTGCCTCAATGCGTGTTGACGAACTTCACATTTCTTCGAAATATATATTTTTTAATTTCTCAGACATGCAGACCCGAGTTCGATCCCCGCCGGTATCAATGAAATTGTTAATTGCAATTGTGCTGATTTACCACGTCCTCGGCGGTGACGGAAAACATATTGAGGAAACCCGCACGTCTGAGAATATAATTATAATCGAATGTAAATCAAATTGACATAGGTAAGTACAGATAAAATTAGCGGAACATTAATAAAATTTTGAGATCGTTTTTTTTTTCAAAATTTTATTTATATATACTTCTATTTTTGTCTGTGCTTATATCAATTTGATTTAATCCAAAGTTCAAGCAGGGGTCAATGTAGCGTAGTAATTTAGAGCGCAGGTATAGCTATAATCATACGAACGTCACAGGCCGCAGCTGACAATGACGTCGAATAAAACTAGAATAAGCGCGCGTCACCGCGCATGCATGTGTGTGTAAGTGTCGTCCTCCCGCACCGCACCGAAGGAAAAATTATTCAGTGAGATGCACGATAATTCATATAAACACGCGCGCGTAAAAAAATACGAAAAGGCCTTTGGAAGGAGGGGTTTTATGAAAAACCCACTGCATGAATCAATTACCAATAAAATTTATTGAATTCTTCGATAATTGAGCTGTGTCGGTACCGACTTTGTTTTGGAAATTTTACACTGCTTTTATTACTAATTTACGCCCAGTTGTGTTAAAATTGACAATAAAAACGAATCTTTGGTAGCTCGTAACTTTTTACTGACTTTTTATTTTACTATTCTGTTTCGGTACAGACAAAATTAATAATGAGACAAAACGATATCATGTTTAACTTTGGATGTACACTGTCAAACAGCGGAGTAAAACCCCTCCGAAATTTCTATGGAAATAATGTCGACTAGAGTCACATTAATAGACCACACCCGGGTGAAATCGGAAGGGTCGCTAGTAATAATTAAATATAATGAATATAACTAAAATACAATAACGTGTGATTAATGATTGAATATTAATGATGATATAATATTATTAGTAGGGTAGCAAATATTTAACATAGATATTTTTAACAGTAAACAAAAAATCTAATATATATAATTATATTAAATGAAATAATTAATAATGAATTACGAAAAGATATTCAAATTTTGACATAGATTTTCTTTCAAATTTGATTAATTTAATTCAAAAAAACCGCTTAGGACGGGGGATTCGGATTCACTATTCTTGTTGTAAGTGCGTTTTGAGAAGTAACATTCATTGTTATGCAGACGACAGTCCTGGCGATGTTTTATACATCGGCCGTGTTAATACTTCTCGAGGATCGACACCATCCACACCATCTTGACGATTGGCGGTTCACCAGTACGCGATTTACGAAAAGTTACGTTTTTTTTACACAATTTCCTTGTGAATCGGCTACCACTAGTGATTTATCGGTACCGATATGATTTAGGGACCTTCTAGAAAAGACTTTCTTTTTTTAAAGGCCGGTAGCACACTTGCAATTCCTCTGGCGTTGCAGTTGTTAAGGGGTGGCGGTAGTCATGTACCATCAGGAGCCGCATGCTAGATTGTCCCCACTCATATAAAAACCCTGCATCCATGGACATCACTCCATCTACAGGATATAAATTATATTTCTGCTTACCTGACAAGACACAGTTTTCATATCAATGTTCAGGGTTTCTTCAAGGTCTTGCAGAGGCATTATTTCACTGTAGGTTTTTGGAAGAAGGTACGGATAGTTTGAGTTTTGTCTGTGAAAAATAACAGATCAATAAAAATAAAAAGATAAACTGACCGGAAACTTTAGAACAATTTTCTTACGAAAGGTAATCTATTACAGATACCACTTGTTCCCCTATAGGCAATAAACAGTTTATTCGTTTAGTACTCGCACTCTTGCACTGTTCCCCGTAGTTAGTCTTGGCTTTTAGATTTGCGATGGAACACAATCTGTCGGTAATCCACAGAATTCTCAAAATTGTTCATAATCTCTTAATTATTCAAAGACTTAAAGACGGCCACGGGGTGCAATGGGATAGTGGATGTTAATTTGCATCTATAAGCTGTTAATCATTTTGTATCTTAGTATATTATCTCTACTGTTTATATACAAATGAATTAAGGAATGACATAGAAAAACCAGGATGTTTAATAATTCAAGGTCCTTAATCTATATGCAGCGGGAGCTTGTGGGTGATGATGAGGACTGTTGCAAGAGGTTCAGTGAAATTCTGATAAATATCTTTATCTTTTTACAATTTTTGTAAAATCAAAATTGAAAATCCTCTCATGAGAATGTCTTCCTAAAGGAATGTAAAAAGTGGTAAAACCGTCAGGTAAAAAAAATATTCAAGAGATTTCACCTGGGCTATGGTATAATAGTTGCATTTCGTTTTACGATAAAAACGTCACACTAAGAAATTAGAAAGATTTGGGATATATGTATAGACGTAGTGTGGTAAACTTTTAGTCACTCTTCAGGAAGAACTGAAAGCAGTAAAATAGTAAAAGGAGTAAAACCACGCTCTTACAGAATACCAGCGTCAAATAGCAGCTTAATGCTGCTGTGTTTAGTATGACGAGTGTAGAGAACCGGAGACCCTTTTTACTGGTAACGAGGCATTCCATCTTAGTCCTCAGGGGTGGCATTTACATTTCGATTCTTAATAGAGGATAGATGTAGATGTCTATGGGCCACAGCATCCACTTACCATCAGGTGGACTGTGTACTTGTTTGTCACCCTTATTGTATAAAAAAGGTAGGGTGAGAGTCTGTGTTCTAACAGTGGGACTTATTTACGTAGGTTGACTTATTTTATAGTCCCGACGTTCGAGCACTTTACAGCAGCCATGGTCATGGGAGGGGACTGTGGTGTTCGACGTCCCAATGTCGTAGTTAACCACGGCTACCTCCAGATTAAAATTATTAATTTATGTTCCGATCTACACAGTATGAACTTATAGTGTCTAGAAGTCTTGTAGTTATGCAACTATATAAATTCATACAATTTAAATTAAAAACAAAATTATTTTAAATGAGTAGTGTTTGCGTAAATATAAGAAGTCTTTGGAAGTCTTATTTTGTTGAAGATGTATATTACCTATATTTTTCCAATTTGATAGCGTTCCATCTCTGTATAAAATGTCGAGCCACGTCTCTAGCGGCTGCGCCTTGTACAAGAACACCGACGTCGTGCCAAGGCATTCTCGGCGTTGTGTTCCTATCCACTAAGTCTGAAATGGAGTACGTTTATTTAAAAATTATCGTTAAGATTAATACGGATTTTAATAATACTATTCCTAGTTCCCTTTAATTGTTTATTATGTTTCCGACAGATGACAGTATAATTGTCACGTATATTTTCGTCTCCTTCGTTAACCCGTAAATGTAAGACCACTGCTTTTTTGTCACCATTCTTCAATAATGGCTTCACATTATAAAATTTAAGAATATACGACAGTATCTTCGTTGCTTTGACAGATTGAGTGCTAATGCCATCATGACCTTCTGCAGTGTTATTTGTGGGTGTAAAAAATATTGAATTATTATGGAATGGAATATTAATGAGATTACAATTTAAATGATCATCTTTTGGATGCGACACAATACTATAAAATAGTTATTAAACAATTCACTATAAGCCCCGCACGTTGATATTGCGACTGGCGGCCATCTTAGTGACGTAGTCGAACTGTCAGTACCGTTCGCAAGGTCAGCTAGCGCGCAATACTGGCGTAAAGACCGAATAATTTACGAAATATTTATCATCAATACCGCAGACGACAGTGAATCTGACACAACTGACTCTAAAACTAGTTCTGATTTAGATAATAATGTGAGTGGAATTGAAGAATTAGTCTAGAATTATTAAATTGCATTAATAAACAATTGATTTTTAATACTTGGTTTTGTTTATTAGTTGTCTATTAAAATTGATTGAGAGGTTTAATGAAAACGTATAAAAAAACAAAACAGACAAGACTTCTTTCACGTTTATTAGTAGGTAATTTAATAGGAAATAATAATTAAATACTTACAAATATATGTATATATCATAATATAAATACCTATAACCCTAGGTTATTAACTTTTTTCGCCAGAGGTGGAAACATCTCACACGTAAAGATAATTAACTTTTTTATTTTATGTATTTTTTATGGTGGATGACGTCACACAACTGTTATTGTGACAAGATTCATCATCGACGTGCGGGGCTTATACATTAGGCTCATTATAAATCAAATCATTTTATTTATCCTTTATCAATCCATCACAGCCAAAAAAATTTTTACAGTCTCATAGGGGTTGTCTCATTGCCAAAATTCTTAATAAAAAAATTAAAACCTTTTGTTTTTGCTATAGTAAAAGCATTAGCTTCCGTTTTTCAGTTTATAAAATGTTTTTATGATTGCTCCAAACTACAGAAATATAAACTATTTATTTATGCCTATAATTTATCGTTTTATTACCTACATATTTTTGGATAACTGTTCAGAACAATGTCAAGCATCTAATTTCGTTTATCTCCTTTGAAAGTAACTTTAATTGAAATGTACTCATAGTTCAGCTGTTTCATGATCTGACAGACCAAGAAAATGAACCCTATTAATATTGCTAGTTATTTGGTCCAAACATGCCTTTTTTCGTGTCGTCATATTTATGTGCAGTTTTAAATTAAGCTTTATAAGAATGTTGCTAGGCACAGACCTCTCTTCAGTAAGGAAGATTTGCCATGATCTCTACTATCACAGTTTAAATGCTGTACTTGTGCAGAGCAACGGTGGGGGTAACCTGCGGGGCAGGGGCCGGGCCGACCTTGTGCTAGCGCACTTCACTGAGTCTGATAGACAATACATTAGGGATGTAGCTTCTCTCCGAAAAAGATTGATTTTTAAATCGATATTCGAATCAAAATCTGATGAATCATTCGACAAAAAAATCGAAGCCTAAAACATCGATTTCTCAAAAATCGATCTTTTTTTTCTTTACTATTTAGATTATACTTTACTTTTTAGTTCTTTAATCCATTAAAAAAAGAGCGAAAGAAACTGAGCCCACGGCAGTTTTGCTAGTTTTTTAAATAGAAAAACTGTCGTTCTTTTCTGAGTTTGGCTACATTCAAGAAATTGTAAATAATTTTATTGTTCTTAAAGATTATAAGAAAAAGATTGGATCTCGATTTTCTAGGGTGAAATATCGATTCACTGGATCGATTCAGTACTATATATCGATTAAAAAATCGATCTTTTTGGCACAAGAAATCGGTTTTTAGATCTCAGATAGACATGCCTACAGTAACTCTTTTATCTATTTTTAAAGGTGCAGTTTTCAAAAAATATAATATATATAGAATGGTGAATTAGTGTTACGAAGTAAAATTGAATTCTAATGACAGCCATGCTTATGTTTCCCTTAGTTTTTTGATACATTTTTTATCGGAATGCAAATACACTACATAATTAAATTTAACAATCGAAAACTAAAAACATCTATAAAAAGAAAGTGCCACGAAAATATTTGGCAAAGCAACACTTGTAAATGTGTTTTTTCTTGTAGTAATAAAAAATGATCTTGTTCAATAAATGTTTTTTACCTATAAGTATGTACATAATGTTAATAAATGATAATGAGTATTTTAATATCCAAAACACCAACACAACTCAACACCTAGCACCTAACAACTCCTAGCATACACGCTACCGCGTCACATCAAAGGCATTTCACAACTGTAAGGTCCAAAAACTGTGCTATTATTGACGGGCGGATTGACTCCCCGTCGCCGGTCTGGGTGTTACGCCTACTACCTTAAGCGAGGTTTATACGCTATCAACTGTTGGGAACAATGAGATCATTCTAGTATTTCTTAAAGTAGAACATTACGTTGGCTACGAACAAAATGCTGTGATGGATTCCGTACATGAAATATTGATTTGATTGTCTGAAAAGTCGATTTTGAATCGTAGAATATATCTATAGTTATCGAGTAATAAAGCATTTATACAATGTTAACATAAAACTCACCTATAAAAGGCAGATCTAAGTTATTAAAGTCTTTCACAATGAAGTTCGTGTAATCCTTCCCAATCCACAGCTTTGAGTTCCCCTCTATCCCCTCCAAAGCCTCTTTAGTACTCTCAGTTATAACCCTTCCCTCCACTACTTGTGCTAACGGAGTGGGTGGGCTCACTGCTTTATTAGTTTTAATTCTTAGAGCGTCAGTTAGAAGAACTTGATTATTTGACAACGCATACTTTTCCGCCTTCTTCCGTTCGGAATCATCAAACTTCTGCTCATTCCTCTCTTCCTCAAAAGGGGGGTAAATCATGCTAATTATATCTTTCCCTCTGTCCGTGATTTTGTTTAGTACATTCTTCTTTTGGTTGTCCGGCCCATCTAGTTGCGAGTCGTCCACTTGTTTAGTCGAGGTTATTAGTAGCTGGTCGCCTGGTTCTAAAATCGGTAAGGTCTCCGGTGCCTTTTCTATTTCGGTTTGTGACTGTTCGTCTGGTTCTTGAGTTTCGCTTACGTTGTCTTGTAACGGCCTGTAATGTGAGTTATATTAAAATAATATAATGGAATATTATTATTAAATAACGATCTTATAATTTCTATTTTTCTTCTTCATTAATTCATTAGTCTATCATAAATCTACTGCTGTACATAACCTCTTCTATAGTTTGCTTCATATGGGGTATAATCACCATAGTTGTTACGTTTGGTAGGCAAGTTGACAACCGCAGCTTTCTATCAAATAGTTTTATAGACGTATTCTCTTATCCATATCGTACCGCGGGTGTTGTAATAGGCTACAGCAACATCATCCAACAGCTCATAATTTAGATTTATATTAATTATTAATAAATAGGTATGTAATAATATCGAGGCTTAAACTACTTTTACGGATTTTATCGCGTTTAATTTAAATTATTTTTAATTCCCGACGTTTCGATTTTCCCGATGTCACAGGGGACTGTGTGTGTAATGTTCGCGTAAATATAAGAAATCATTACCGAGGCTTATATTAAAATATTATAAAAATTCGCAAATGCCTATTTAAATTTTTGAATTTTTTAAAGTAATTTTTGTCTAATAGTATAAATATAATAATAAGAATTATAACTTACTCATTAAGCCCCATGACAATATCTCTGGAGCTTTTAGCTAATTCCAGCGCAGCTTCGAATCCGTTGCCTTGCGGCACATAAATCCCGCCGCCTGGAGAACTAGAAGTTTTTTTCTTAGTCCTTATTGACGACTTTGATTGAGCAATGTTACCTAGATCTGTCAATCTAAAAAAAAACATGTTTAGTTTTAATAATTGTAATAAAAAATAACCAAGTCTATAATTACTGCAGTTGATGGACACCTGCGGCCAACTTCATACAAAGAAGACGAAGGACTAGGATGGAATGCCTTATAGCCTGCAGTTGTACTGGCTTTTATACCCTTCAGACCGTTACGCAAGAGTGCAAACACTGCTATTACACCGATACCTACCCACTTATTACTTTATAAGTGTTATTATAAATAATGTTGCGCGTCTAAGTTGATGTATGGTACCTGGCACTAGCGCCATCTAGTGTCGGGAAATAGAGCGAGGAGAGCTTTCTAGAAAATTCCATGCCTGAACTTTCCACCAACAGCACCATCTAGTATCGAATAGAAGAACTAAGGTTTCTGGAAAACTCCACACTCGAACTTTCTCCACCTAGTCGGTCGGGACCGGTATTTGCTGGAATATTCTAGATGTTTCGGTGGAAAAGGCCTATTTAAAGCTGTTGAGTGCCGCGACCGTAACAGTATTGAATTGGCGATACGAGCGAAGCTTTCGCAGTGAAATAAAATGAAGTTTTTAGCAGTGCAGTTTTTATTTTCACGAACCCTAAGCTACTTACGTAAACTTACAACACTAGCTACTATATCAGGCCCGAAGGACCAAAACACTACCGTTGTATTTTATTAAAAATAGAATAAGTGTGACAAACGAGCACATGGTCGACCTGATGGTAAGTGGATGCTGTGGCTCATAGACATCCACATTTATTCTCGATTAAGAATCAAAACGCAGCGTTGTTATCTTTGAGGACTAAGATGGAATACCTTGTTTCCAGTAAAAAAAGGTCTCCGGATCTCTACATTCACCATACGAAACACAGCAGTATTAAGCTGCTATTTTATGCTAGTATGGAAATAATAATGATTATACTAATGTTAAAAATTCGCTAGACGCGGAGCAATAAAAGGGAAAACAGGACGCCGCTTCTTGCGCTCTCTGTCGTACTTACGGGCCTTACGGCTGGACTTGCCGTTCCATAAAATTAGTATAAGTGTAGATAATATACATAATATACATAACAAGTAAAAAGGAATGTTTAATGCATTAAGTGTTTAAAATGCACGGATTTAATTTGTTAATATTTCCACGCAGGTTCAAAAGACAATGTAAACATTTAAGTTATTACACATAAAATATTAAACTGTTCATAGTTGACGGGGCTAATCAAAAAGTTTATTTACAGCCACGACATGAAGTTTCGCAACTAGTGATCTGAATTTTTTGAATTCGTTCTGAATTAATCTGCTGCTTGTAATGGTGGAATAATAATTACCTATGTTTATGGTCGTCCCATCGCCCATAGCACATGTCGATTCCACCGACAAAAGCGACAGTCTGATCCACACATACCAGCTTCTCGTGATGAGCCCAGAACAGCACACCAGCTTTCGCATGGTCTGGATGTCGAAAGACCTGGTACCGAAATTTACCGCAAGAAAGTAAAAAAAAGGTAAAACTGTATTATTGAATGATAGTTTCATCCAAAATTATTGATTTTACTGACTTTATCATATAGAATTAAAACTTATTTTAGAATTCCATCGAAAGTGCTTTGCAACACTAAATGAAAATATGGATGTTCAATAAGCTAATATTTTAGATAAACCTTCAGCATTTAATTGACAAGCAAACTGAATTATATTTTCGACTGTAATTGTTATTGGAATTTAAAACGAGATATTCAATGTTTATATCAAACTTAACTTTGTTGGATCAGTCAACCAGAACCCGAGAAAGATTTATTTAACAGCTTGAATTTAGTTAAAATGTGCGTAGTGTAACTTACTTTAATATTTTCATTTTTCCTAGTTAAGATAGCCTTGCTGTAGTAGCTGTTGATGCCGAGTGCCATTTCGACCTCCTTGTATAGCATCACGAACACCTTCACGCCTTGCGCCTAAAATGGTAGAGAACTAAACTGTATTGTTTAATATATTTACCACAATGTTCGTACATCGCACGAGGTGTGCCAATTCATTGTAATGGACCAAAGAGAATATAGTCCCTTGAGACTCGATGAGCTAATTTTTTTCTAAGTACACGATTAATTTGTTTATGGGGACGAAAGGAATTTCGCGACTGCAATATGTGTAAAAATGTTTTTAATGTTTCCCAATACGGGACAAGGGACAATATGGCGGCATGTTTACGACAAACCACTCACTATATCAGCATGAGCCTTGCAATTACTCATAATATCTTGTACTTATCTATGATTATATATATATATATATATATATATATATATATATATATATATATATAGTTAGTTATACCACTTTTTATAGTTAAATGTCTTATTTGATTTGCCACACTATATACGCGACCAAAGAAGGCATTTTGGTGGTTTATTTGCACGGAAATGTTTTAAAAAAGGATATTATTACGAGCGGAAAAATTAAACCCATAGTTGGTACTAGCATAATTAGTTCCGTATTTACGGCGCAGTCAAGTTATATGTCAAGTTTGATTTAAGTCGTACAACTTTCAGCTTAAATAGAATGATAGAATTCGGTATTCAATATAAAGGATCGATTTTCTTGAGGTTACTTTTCAAACTTCAATCACTGAATTGATGGAGTGACGAATATAGTTTTTTTTGCAGTTATGATAAACATTAACTTTGGTTACAGATGTCAGACAATAACTTCAACATAGACAAGCGAGACAGATTAAGCATGAATTTTTCTTTAATTTTCCTGTGACGACTACACTTTTGCTTACTCACCGCTTTCCGCTTTAAGATGCAGTCGAGCCGCCAGTAGTTGCCGTTGAGGGTGGGCCTCTTCATGTAGAGCTCGGGGCTGAGCCACCAGTCGGCGATGAAGATCTCCTCCCTGGCCAGGTCCATGGCGTCGGCCACGGCGGCCAGGTACGCGGAGCCGTCCACCAGCGCGTACGCGGTCGTGCCGGCGCGCGGCGGCGCGAACGAGTGGTGCACGTTCGGGAACGTGAAGTCCCGCGCTGGGCACATTATGTCCCTATTAAATACTAGCCGTTGCCCGCGACTTCTGCCTCGGAAATTTTATTATAGTTGGATGTCATGGCTTTTGATTTTTTGTTATTTTTCTAAAATAAAAGTAGCCTAATTTACTCCTTATAACATCAGCTATCTGCCAGTTGAACAAAATCAGTCCAGTCATTTCTAAGATTAGTCGGAACAAACAGACAGACTAATTTTTTTTGTTATAAGTACTGCATATATTTTTATATGCATTTAGTGAAAAGATGTTATTTTGACTTTAAAAACAGATACTTCAATTTTATTAATTTGTATAGACTAAAATTGAAGCCGTGGTACCTTGGGGCCTTGGCATTTGACTAAAGTTTCTTTCATTATATTGCGGAGCTTTTATCGCGCCACAAGCGATACGAACCGAAAAGCCTAAATCACGCTATCGGCATGACGGCCACCTTTTACTCCTTCAGTCAAAATAATATTTGACAACCCGCCTTTGAAACCCATAACCAATATGTTTCCATTTTCATTTTAAATGTTCATTTACCAAGTACTCAGAGGTGGAGGAAACATCTAGTTAGGACATTATAGCATTTCAAGTGAATGTGTACACACGGACGCACGCACGCAAGCACACACGCACCACGAACACACACACACACACACACGACGCACACGCACACACACACACACACACACACACACACACACACACACACACACACACACACACACACACACACATACACATGGGTGCTGAGGTGCATTCATCAATCCTGGATTAAGAATTCAAATGCGGATGCGTTGTAACCCCTGAGGATCAAGATTGAATTCTTCGAACCTGAAAAAATAAACGAGCACGTAGTTCCCCTCAAAGTAAGTGAATGGTGTGTCCATAAACAGCTTTATACGTAGTAGAACCATGCTGCAGTTATATTAGAAGTATAGTTGTAGCACGAATGAGTCGGCTCGACCGGGGAAGGACCACGCTCTCACAGAATACCAGCGTGAAACAGTAGCTTAATGCTGCTGTATTTCGTATGGTGGGTGTAGAGAACCGGAGACCCTTTTTACTGGAAACGAGGCACTCCATCTTAGTCCTCACCGGTGACAACGCATCTGCATTTTGATTCGTAATCGAGGATAGATGTAGATGTCTATGGGCCACAGCAACCACTTACCGTCAGGTGGACTATGTGTTCGTTTGTCACCCTATCCTAAATAAAAAAAATATCTTTCTAGAATCTAAAAAAATGCTGTCACTTCGAGGGGATACCTAATCGTTACTAGTTAACAAAAAGGATCCCCTGTTCTAGTCATAAATTAAAAAACAAGACAAATGTCATACTGTTACTTTATTGTGTTCCATGCAAGTGTGGTTAGTACCTGGTCAAACCGACTTCGTCATGCTGCAGCAAACACAATTATATAAAGCATAACATCCATAAGCCACAACACTTTCACAAAATATTACATGTAGTGACAAACATCATCATTATCATCACCAAAATCATCATCATCATCACTTCACAAGGTCTCTGCTACTAAATCTAAGGTTCAGAGGCAGCTGCATTTATTGACTTCCTGCATATCCTACCAGATCGTTATCCCATCTATTGGGGGCTGTAACTAACTTACATCACATTAATTCTTAAAAAAAATAGCAAACAAATATTTTCTTACCTGATTGGTTCGCTACAGTTTTAAGAAAACTTATCCATTCCCTGCTTTTTCGCTTTGTCCAACATTTGATTACCAATTGTCGACTCTGATTCAATATTTGAAGGCCGTGGTTTAACCCCGTGGAATACATTCCACTTGATACTTCAAAACTGAAAATATTTAAGAAGTCTTTACATTTTTAATATACGTTACCTTCATTCGTGTGCGAACAAAGATTTAAAAACTAAGTATACATGATATCATCATCATAATAACCTATATTACGAGTAATTCTACTACCATACATAGGCCTGCCACCTGCATACACCGAAATCTTGCATCTCTTACAAGGTCGTCACTCTATCTATTGAGCGGTCACCCTTCACTTCGCAAAAAAAAAAAACAAGTGGTAAAATTTGTATTTCACAAAGTTAAACCCAAATTTTGACGGATTCAAAGGCTACGTGGTGTAGCTTTTTTTTATTTATTTAACATAAGAAAAAAATACATAAAATCACAATTTAAACATCACAAAAACCCTTACGGGTTTGTCTGGATGTTGAGACACTTTTGAGCAATCTGTTGACATTAGTTTTTATACGTATTATTATTTAATAAGAACATCAATTATAGTATTAACAGTATGAAGTATAGGTACATTGTTTACATACAAGTGGACATAAAGGAACCGGTTATAGATAAGCAGCTCGGCACGGCTGGCGGACAGCCGGCTGATGCTACTTGAGTGTGTTATAGACAGGATGTTTCGATTATCGATATGATATTATGTTAGGTTTGATTTCATTAAAATTAGACAACTTGTTATTAAAGTAAAGAATTAAAGTATTGCTTATATTTATTTTTATAGTTTTTGTCCGTTATTCCTAATCTGATTTAAGTAGGTATATCATTAACGAGGGTTGGTATTAAATACGCGTTCGTTCGTTTTCCGTAATAATTTCTAACTCTTGGTAATTCTAGTTTTGATTGAGTTACTTTCCGTGTCATTGTTTTATGATTCACTTTTATTTGTATTTCTTTGTTCGTAAATTGTTCAATTAATAGCCACAATTTTATTTTAATATGAACAAGCAATATCTCACAATATTTAAATAACGCTAATACATCGTCGTCTCCGAAGCAGATTGATTTTTTAATTTTATCAGGTATTATTATTTTTAAAAGCCGAAGTTGTAGGCTGTATATTTTGTCCAAATATGTTTTAAACGTCCTACCATAGCTAGTGATCCCATATGAAATGATTGACTCTGCGAGTGCATTATATAAATTTAGTAATATTTTAAATGGTACTTTGTATTTCAAGATAGCAAATTTGGCCAGCATTGCTCTCAGTTTTTCACATATTGAGTCAATGTGATAACCCCAGTTAAATCTGTTATCGACTACTAGTCCTAAATATTTGTAACGGGGAACCTGCTCTAACAATTCACATTTGCACCCGGTCCTATTTGTTTCAAAATCATGCAAGCACTGATGACTATGCGCAATTACTTCGATTTTCTTATCAAAATTGCGTAGGTAGTTAGATCGAATATGAATAATTTTAGTTTTACTAGCATTCAGTACTAAACCAACATCATGAGACCATTTACATAAGTTATTTTTTTCGTGTCGATTTGTAAAAGGTGTTCGGCCTTATCTAGATCTTTATCGACTGCTATAAGACATGTATCGTCCGCGTATTGATATATGGAACGATGTTTTATTACATTTTCCATATCATTCACGTATGCTAGATAATGCAAGGGTCCGAGCACGGAGCCTTGTGCTGTTCCAGTAGTTACAAATATTTCGTCACTGAAATCATTGCCGATCTTAACCCGGTATTTTCTATCGTTGAGATAATCTTGGCACCATTGTAATAATGGCCCGCGGATACCTGTATTGTCAAGTTTTTTTATAAGAATATCGTGCCTAAGAGTATCAAATACCTTACTAAAGTCAATAAATAATAATATGACATGTTTTTTATCATTCAGGTGTTGGTTTATTTCGTCCGTGAATTTAGACAGCAATATAGTAGTTGATTTCTTAGATTGAAAGCCGTATTGAGCATTTGATAATATATCGTTTCTAGAATAAAAATTGTGAATTTGCTGGGCCACATATTTTTCGACTACCTTATCTATGACTGACAGTATTGTTATAGGCCTATAGCTATCATACTCACTATGTGATCCCTTTTTATAAATTGGTCTTACGGTGCCAGTTTTCAATTCTTGTGGATATTTTCCTACTGCTATGCTAGTGTTTATCAGCTTAACTACAATATTAGCAATCTTGTCACTCAGCATCTTAACGTCAAAACGTCGGATTCCATCATTACCAGCCGATTTATTTGCATTTAAACTTTTTATAATAGTTAGTATATCGCGCTTAGTAGGTTTTTTAAATAAAATAGATTTGTTTTCAGGAAATATGTATTCCGATTCTGACATAAGTTTTTTGCTGCATCCAGGCAAAATTTTCTTAACGTTTTCACAGAATTCTTTAGCAAAATTGTTGGCTATATTTTTTAAGGTTAGATTGTTTTTCTTGAATGCTTTGGTTACAGCTTCATCTACTGACTTACAGACTCTACCAGTAAGCGTATTTAATATATCCCACATTTTCTTTTTATTCATTTTATTATTATTAATTAAATCATTAAAATATTTGTTTCTAGATTTTTCAATTAATTTTTGAGTTTTGTTTCGCTGTTTATTAAATTCTAATCTAAGTATATAATTATTCGTATCCTTTTTCCACTGATTAAAAAGTAAATCTCTTTTTCGGCACATGTTGTTAATTTTATTATTTATCCATAATTCTTTGTTTCTTTTGCTATTTAAATTTATTTTTTGTGTATATTTGGATAGTTCGTAACACATTTTGAATTTATTTTTAATATAATTATAAATCTCTATCGGACATAACATCGTATCGACACCATTCCAATCAATTTCATTTAATTTTTGTTTTAATATATTATAATCAATTAGTTGTTTAACTTTTGCACCATTCCGTATAATGTTTGCAACTCCGCTTCCTATGCACGACAACACAACCATACGATGGTCCGCCATTACAGTACCGAGTGCGGCCGAATAAAGGTCTAGCGAGCGCGCTCTTGCAAAAATATGATCAATGCAACTCCGCGTAATAGTATCTTTTCGGTTTTCGATTCTAGTGTAATCTGATATTGCACTCGCTAGTCCACATTCGGCCATGCAACTTATATAGTATTCTCGTATGTTATCATGCGACTTTAAGTCGATATTTATATCACCCAGTAAGTATAAATCCGAGCATTTAAAAACGTCCTTACACAACAGTTTTTTTCAATTCTTTGATAAATAAGTGTTTGCTTTCTTTGGGTGGTCTATACAATGAACAAATAAGTGCCGTGTATTGATGTGACGTAGATAATTTACCTATTAAAGATTCACAATGGTTTAGTGATATATTATTTAGAATTTGAAACTTGTGGGTACTTTTTATATACATAACAATGCCACCACCTCTTCGCTGTTCAGGAAGCTTATAGTACATTTCATAGCCATGAATATTAAATAATTGAACAAGATTACTGCTTTTGGAAATTCCTACCTCTGTTAATATAATAACGTCGACATCAATTTTAGACGAATGAATGAATTGTAAAACCAGACAAAAATTTTTAACTATTGATCGCAAATTTATGTGGCAATATTTAGTTGTTGTATATTATGTGGTAGATATTTACTAAACTCGTTTATGTTAGTACAGTCAAACAATTCTTGTATTTCCTGTGAAGGAACTGTTGCGTTGTGTAAAACTGCTATCGATATTTTTGAGAAGACAACTTATCAATATCACATGAGCTTCTTATGATAACGGGCTTGTCATTATCAAATTTACGAGCCAAAACTTTACCATCCTGGAACCAAATATATTTGTAAGTTTCCTTCAAGGTTTGTTTAGCTTGCCACAGAAGTGTTTTATTTGCTTTGGTTAGTGCACGCCGAAGTTACACTCTTCTCTTGGCTACTTCAGGATTAGGGGCATTTGGAGTTATATCTTCCAAAGCAATTGTTTCCGTTCGTGCAGCGCGGATCCACTGGTCGACCTGCTCCTCTTGTTGTAATACTACCTGGATCACACCTTCTTTACCGTCCCTGCCTTTCAGTCTTTTCACCATTGACGCTTGACGTTTCTCTACGTTTAGTTTCGAGGCTAGTTTACTTGAAAGTTTTTCCAAGTTCTCGTCCTTGTCTTCGGGAATCCCTGTTATTTCCAGTACATTATCCAACTGTTTTTGTTCCATATTTCTGATTTGTTGTTCCATAGCATTAACTTTTAATTCCAAGTGGGTATTTTGATTTGTCAAGTACATGTTTTTCTTCTCCAAGTCTTTCACTTTCTCAGTTAGGATTTCTAGTGTAGCATTTATAGTATCCATTTTTATACACCATGAGCTTAACGATTCGTTCACAGAAGCCAGTTCCATCTTCACTGCTTTCTTTACCTGAAGTGAGATATCACGAAGTAATTTACTCATCGCTGTCGAACCGCTTTCACCCAGCTGAATCCCATCAGTATCATCGTCATCGTCCTCCGGAATTATGAAAGACTTACGATGAGGCGATTCTTTACGACAATCCTCACATGTCCACTCCAAGTTTTCAGCATTGCCCAGAGCTGATAGCTGCTTCGAAGATAAGCCTGTGCATAATTGATTGGCGTGTACTATTTTTCCACATTTGTTGCACTCAAGCCTAGGTGACTTTTTTGTTATGGACTTATCACAATTGTCGCATTTAGACATTCTTACTTATTAAATATTGAGGGTAAATATATCCGTACACAGTTAGACTACGCTGTACGAGAGCTCGCGAGTGACTGAGCTGGTATAGCATGACATACCATGGTACAGCTGCTGAGTGTCGTGACGAGTGGGTCGGCTCGATCGAAGTAGGACCACGATAACAGCTTAAAATAGCAGCTTAATGCTGCTAGTCCACAGTCGCAATACAAAGTGGCACAATGTATGCTTCGGTCTTCTTTCAAATACGCCGAGAGGTGCATTGAAAGTCTATTATAACTAAAACCTTTTCGGAAACCGGCTAGTTCAGAAGGCTGGAAGTTCTGAAGTCAACACGACTCAAGGCGCAGCTAAAAAGGGAAATCAATCTGTAGTTCTTCAATAGAGCGTTGTCGCTTTTTATGGAGAATTAGACCATCGCACTTTTGCTTTACGCCTCCATTATTATTGTTCGTTATAATTTCAACCGAAATATTTCAGCACAGATTAGTTTTAAAATTGTTACAGAAGTTTAGATTTGGGTTAGTGTTGGGAATCATTAGATAGTAAAGAAAATTTAAAGTTTAATTTTGTTAAGAAACATAATTCTGTAGCTACAATGGTGAATTGTATCAACCAAAGTGCTTGTACAATTAAGGGGAAATATAATCTCAAATGGCTTAGCAAGATCCTTCGTTATGCCGAAAATATTGCAGCATTAATTTTGAAATAAATATATGGTAAAGTTGAGGATTAATGTTAAGGATTATGTTAGACGAAAACACGATTCCGTAAAATTTTCTCGATAGAAAAAAAAATCCAAAGTTACCTCCAAAATAAACAATAAACCGCTGTTATTCATAAAATACTTTAAATAAGATCATGAAACTTTGCATACTAACTGAACTAACTATAAAGCAGTGCTTATGTTATTTACTTTTTTAAAAATACCATTATTTTCACTGTAAAAAGAAATTACCTAAACTATCGGCCTCTTGAAGCTTGATTCCTGCCGCTCGGTCACTTCGCTTCGGCCTTTGAAGGGAGAGGTTGTGTCGCTTACGATCAGAATATACATTACGCAACAGGACGACGTAAAATTAAAATGGGAAATAACCGTGATAAAAATAAGAAGCGACTGGCTTGGCGTTAAGAAACAGGCATAAATATGATAAACCTAATGAAATAAGTGTCTAACGACCTTTCTACTTACAGTATTAGTGATTACAAACATGTCGGTACATAGCATACGACGCGCGGGCAAGTGGGAACGAAATTAGAATTTGAGCTGACTTACTATATCCCCTTAAAGTTACACATTGACACTAAAATTTTGCTTATATGAAACGAGTAAGTTAAATCGAATTTTAAATTAACTGAACAGTCAATAGAACAGGTACACTGTATCCTCTATCTATACTATGGACCCCTGGTAAGACTCACTTCACATATCATGTGGAAATACTACTGAATAAAGGTAATTTATTAGCACTTTAAGAATGAATATGATTTTGGACACAAAATTTAGTTATTCATCTTAAAGCACGAGACAAATATAGCTTTTATGACTAGGGTACAGTTATACATTAAGTATAAAAAGTAGTTACGTGTGATGAACACGTGTTAAAATGATAGGTTAATATTTTAGCACAAAATGTTAAACTTATTTATTTGTTATGTCAACGTAAAGTACTTACTCTGTCACGAGCTGCGTGAAAAGAAAATACGGTATATTAAATTTTTTTATCTAAACTCTATCTCTAGACTCTGGCGGCTTATATCAAAATACTCGTATGTCAATATTTTTAGCTTTCTTATGTTTAATAAATATAGTAAGTATGTAGTAGGGTTGTTAGCAGTCCGTTAAGATATTATGCTATAACACGATTAGATCGGTTCAATCGACGAAAGATTACACTCGCATATAATACCAGAGGGAAATAATAGGAATCATGTTGCTGTGTTTCGTATGCTCCTATGGTATGCTCCGTGTAACGATGCATTCACCTTGTCCGATCCGAAAGGGGCATATAAATAACTCTATGACATTTTCAGTAAATTTTTTGTAAGGATTTGTTTATGTATTTATTCGCTCAAAGCATTACATGAACATAATCATATCACAATACTTAAAAACACCCACGGACTGTGTGCTCGTCAGCTACTCTTGCTAATATAGAAGTGAAGTATCTACTGCTTACAGGAACCTTTTTCTATTAGGTCCGGTCATCTATAATATATAAAAATGAAGTGGAACCTTGATCATAGACAACTCATTACAAACTGTCACTAACAACTTTACTTATAACCAGTAAAGTAAAACTTACGTCGTTAAAAGCTTTCTTCCGCATCCGGAAACAATTTATAAATACTAATTATATATTATAATTTATATATACTAGTAATGCTATTAAACATTAGTAATAATCCTTTTAATCACTCCTGGTAAGCTTATAACGCTTGTGTTAGGAGTCGTTCACGAAAGTAGTCGAATGGCGGATTCGATTCCACGACCTTTTGAGTTTGCAGTCAGCACCCCGCCATTAGGTTGATTGAACATTATATCACTAATACTAGCTATAACATGTATTGTGAATATCTATTTTTATTTTTATATATATATATACACACACACACACACACGCGCGCGCGCTAACGCACGCACGCACTTACGCACGCACGCACGCACGCACTTACGCACGCACGCACACATGCACGCACACACACACACAAACACGCGCACGCACGCACGCACGCACGCACGCACGCACACACACACACTTTTATATATATATATATATATATATATATTTGTGTATTAATCTTAAGAAGAAACTTACCCTTGGTCGAACAGCATAATTGCTTTAATGGTGCCATCTGTCGGCCGAATGTATCCGAAGAACGTGTCTTTAACAAACAGCCACCGCTCCTGCCATTTTGCGCACACGAGCCCCGTACAGCAGTAGTGACATCTGGAGTTTAAAGTTGTTTTAAAGTTTCACTTTATGCCGTGTACTGACGGCGTAAGGGAATTCGTTACCCCATATCATCCTAGGGGTACCGCGGCAAAGGGACATGAAACACAATTGGATATATATACATGTTTCAATTTCTAAATTATGCCACCACCTGTTACTGTGCCTGTGCCATTAGTTTACATACATCGATAAAAACAAGTGTCTTGTACGAGAATTTATAAGCAACGGTAGCTTAATGGTTGAGGTAGTAGGACCGTAAGAATGTTAATTACCCATTACATTATCGTCGTCGTTTTTAATTTCGTTGGGGCGATGAAAAAATATTTATATTGGATGACCTTTTTTTACCGTCTAGATAAAATAGGGTGTAACATGTGAACGGAGTAGAAGCCTATGGTACTGATATTTTACAAAAAAGAAGTACAAATTAGAATTAAAGGCTTGAATTCTTTTTTAAACAATAAAAATCCTTTGCCCTTGAGCATGTGACCCTGCGAATTGACAAGGTCAAAGATGGTTGTTTTATTGCTATTCGTAAAGTAGGGTGGATATGATTTGAATTTCGATAGATTTTAATTTTTTTATTTATTTAATTCAAAACTTTTATTTTTATTTATTTTTTTGTAAAATCAGTGCCATATAGGCTTCTACTCCGTTCACATGAATTTTTTTCCAGATGGTAAAAAAAGGAAGAAAGAAAGAAGACATTAGCGTCAACACGTATTTGGGCAGCACGATGGACATTTAATTGCCCAAATCCTCCCAGAAATGAGAGGAAGCATGTGCCCAGCAGTTAGTGTCGGAGCGCGCCCAGTCTGTAACTACTCCTTTTTACAAAGTCAAACCTTAAAATCTAACAATAGGATAGAATTTCGATATTCTATTCTTCTTCTATATTAGGGAAGTCCTCACCTGACACAGACCATTGTGCCCAGTAGTCCAAAACAATTGCAGCCGGCTTGGCCGGGCTGCGTCGAACCCGTGCGTTTCTGTATCATGCCCTCCTTGCCTTTGGAGCCCAGCTCCGATATGAACGATACGTTGGACACTTCCAAGAACTTCACCTGCCACAAAATTTCGACGAAAATTAAATCAGTCAGAATATTTATAATAGATAATAACTATTTTAGTATTTTAGCATGAGATTGAAATGTTTGTCGCTTCATTAGTAAGACAACAAATTTTTTTTATTAATCTTATGACAACAGTTTTTAAAATAATTTGTTCGTAGCAGATGTTTTACAGAAGTGTGACAAACGAGCACACAGTCCTGATCATAATAAATGATGAGGTTCATAGACACCTCCTGCGTTTCCACAGATGACTAAGATGGAATGCTTCATTGTAAAAAGGGTATTTGATTCTCTACATTCACTTTACAAAACACAGCAGCATTATGTTGCCACTTCAAGCTGACATTCTGTGCTAGCGTGATCAATGAAAGGCCTATGTCTAGCGGCGAGCTCATAATAAGACATAATAATTGACTAATCACTGAAATAATGTATTGATTGTGCCACGATACGTCCAGATTTTTATTTGCTGACTATTGCATATTACCACAAAGGCAGCATTAGTGATTTTTTCCTTGTTACTGTACTGTTATAAAAGTTTATTTCTTTTTTATTAATTACGATTACGAGGTCAGACTTATATCTTTTTAACCGACTTCAAAAAAAGGAGGAGGTTCACGATTCGATTGTATTTTTTATGTGATTTTGATGATTCTGTTTTTATTTCAAAGCTGCTTGCTTATCATGTGGTCCCATATAAGTTTGATCAAAATCTGACCAGTAGTTATGTTTAATAATGCGTATTTAATTGACTTCGACTACATTGATGATTTTCTCATTTTATATATCAGTCATCTAGTTGCAAATCCCGCCAAAACGATTCAATCAAATTTTGCAGAAATGAAAAAAAAGTTTGAAACAGAAACAACTTTACATTATTAGACGATTTTCTTTTACTTCCATGGCAACAAAAGATACCTATATAACAAAATGAAAAAAAGCTGCCATTACTACCAAAAAACTAGCTTAAAACAGATTTTGATTTTAAATATGGTGGATTTATGGTGGATGGGCATTTGCAACTGAGCCTTGTGAAATAGCGGGATTTGAAACTTATGTCATTCTATGGTGATGGTCAATGTTATGCAACAACAATTGGTCAGTAAGTAAATAAAAATGCAGAAGAGCAATTTTACATAATAATATAATTTGAAAATAAACTAGTTAGTTGTTGTACATTGGAAATCAGGTAAACACAAAAAGTTAAATCATACTATTAGGTTGACATCCTCAAAGCCATCTTTCACAAAGGTCGCTTGGTATCTCTGCTGTATCGTCGTCAATATCTCCTTGCTCATAAGACCTTCTGCCTTCCACTGTTTTATAAAACTCTAATGTTTTAATGTCTCTTCATTGCTCCCCATAATGTTTTTACAATAGATTTGAAACATCTTTGCTTCCTTTGGAATCAACTGGTTTGCTGGAATAACAACTGGAGTCAACATAGTGATGCTTTTATTTTTCTTTGTTATTGGCTTCTCTACATTAATTGCAATTTTATATGACTGTTCTCCTTGCAGCAATAAATGATTTGTTTTGGAACGTGTCAAGAAAAACCTTTTGCACTTTTGGAACTGTACGTGCTAGCTAGTCGTTGGTTTGATAATTGGTGCGTAGGCCGATTTCCAATCTCGTACTGCAATTGTATCTAAAGCACTCATTTTACAATATTGAGTTATGATTTCTTGATATTGTTCAGGTGACGAAATGACTTCACGCTTTTCCAAATCTTTCTCTATTTGAGCAAACACGCGGTCGGGTGGAATAAAAGAGTGCCCTACAACAGGAAAAACTATTTCTACCCTTTTGATGTGTCTGGGTGCTTCTGTTGTCAACCACTTTCCAAGCATGGCTACGTTGCCGGAATTTTTATTTTGCCCAGAACAGCCATCTGCTACTATTCTTAAGACTTTGATTTCTTCTTTGATATCTACATTAGTTAAAAAGTGATAACTGCTGAAATGATTTCATTACTACCTTTGTTGTGTATGGTTTCATTCCAGGTATATGCAAATATGTTTTCCTTGGTCAATTTTGCCTTAGAGCTACTAACTACTATAGTGAAGTTGTAGAAATTGTATTGGCGGCTATAGTAGGCGGACTGATCTGGCACTTTAGGCAGCCCTAAATTTTTTTGACAGTCGAAGATTATTGTTAGAAGATCGCTTTTTTGCTCCTGCAAGATCTCATAGAATGCTTTGAACCTCAAATGGTGGACTCTTTTTTCAATTATCAATTTATTTATGATCTCAGTATTTGTTTCTTTTTTAATGTTCTCATCTAACAGAAGACATGTCGAACAAACATCAGACCTAGGTGTGCCAAAACAAATGTTATAACAACAATTAAATATATTTCTAAAAAAAATGCTGTTTTACTTCTAAGCAAGGATGGTCGTTGTTATACATACGCCAAAGTTTTTTTTATGTTTAGTTCAGGGGGCAAGTACAATCTTTTTATATTTTTTGACCTGCAATAGTGGCTTTCATTTGCTTTAAATGACTCTATAAAGGCTTGTACCGCTTTTCTTTTCTCTTCAAACTTCTGACTTTTTCGGTCTCCACCCCTGCGCTCTTTTGCCATCTCCTCCTTTTCATAAAATCTTCGCATCGCTCCCTGTATACGGTCTTTCCTTACCCACAATACATTAGTAAATGTTTTTTGACAAACAGGGATCATTTTGCCGCTCTTGTTACGAATGAAATATTTTAACGAATGATTTCGCTTGCTAGCAACTTTTTTAGTTTTAGATGTTGTGATAGTACAGTGTTTTATTATAAAATTATCTTGCAAAATCTTTGTCGCAAGTTTGTAAAATGATTGGTGAAATTTTCTTATTTCTGTGCATGCTAAAGTAGCGCACTGAAATGCCTGCGACTATGTCCATATGATGGGAATGCTGGAAGCGTATTTGGCTTGTATCTACAACAAAAATAAGTCTAATTTGAATTTTCACTGTTAGTATAGATTTTATCATCAGTAGAAAACAATAAAAATACTTGTTTTATAAAACACTAGCTGACCAAGAATTTTGTACCACTTGACGTACCTACACTACCTCCCTATCCTACCCTACCATATCATATCTATGTCCTTTTCCAGGTCATGGTCTACCTGTCTGCCAAATTTCGTCCAATTCCATGCATCGGTAACGAGCAAACAATCAAACCAACATTCATTTTTCTATACCTAAGATAAGCATACTTATTATTAGTATATTATAAAATATTAGTATTACGTTTTTTGAACAGGCTTTTTGCCATTGATTTATATATTACATTAGCTCAGTAATAACCGCGCCAAAGCGTTGCCACTGCACATATGGCCACAGCCATATGCTTAGCTAACGTCAGTTCAGTGTTGAATGTGACGCCGACAGAGTTGAGTCGCGACAAAAAATGGGTAAATGCGTGGTGAAAGAATGCTATTCAAAGTCACAAAAACGTAATAAATCAAGCGGAATCATTTTCAACACATAATTTTTAGTTCTTGTTTTCATATAAACGTAAAAAACCTCAAATAATTAAATAGATTTATCGAATATTGCCATTTAGGTTCAATGTTGCCATTTTTCCGCATTTGTGATTATCCTACATTAATGGGAGACTAAATAGTTAATGGAGTAAGTTAATTTGTTTCCTCTGATTTTAAATATTTTGGGAATTACAATAAAAACTACGTTTTAATATATTCATGTTTCATACAAAAAAATTTTCTTATTTTAGTTTATTCATGAATTACCTGTTAAATATATTTTATTACCTATTGTATATTAATAATTTTATATTAATTATATTTTATTACCTATTTTATATTGTTTGATTTATTAGTACAATAAAAATATGTTTTATTTCATCATTATGTTTACTTCTATTCATCTGATAAGCTTTGTATCCTTTTTTTTCTAAGGGGACGCAATAAATATTTTAAAATAAAATATACTTTTTTAATATAAAAACAATTAACTGTAGCTTAAAAAAAAACTCATTTTTATTGCGTATTTTAGGTAAAATTTCATATAGTAAGCCACACCAACCCGCCATTGCATGTTTGCGTGTCTATCTTTATCTAATCTTAGCGAAGATATTGTTTTCGCAACTTGTGTAAGTGAGATAGATATAGGTTTATTTAAAATTGTTATTCGTTTCAAAGCTACGTCGTCGCGTTTGGATAGTGGTTACACTTTTTTCGACGCGCGGTAATGTGGTTTGCTCCTCTAGTGTTGTATAACTCAATGCTTTTTGCAGTTAAACCGAATAACTTATTATATAAACCTTATGATTTCTCGAAAATAAAACAGTATTTTTATATCGCTTGTAACAATCATTAATGTAAATGCCACAACACATTCGTATAAAATCGGCAGACTGTTAAGGGATAATATAAAGAACAATGTTTTATTTTAGGGAAATTTATATTAGTTAGGTACTCAATTTAGCAAGACAAAAATTCAAATTTGAATTTTTGCGCCAAATCATGTTGAATTATTTTCATGGTCCTGTTTTGCTTAACAACTCTTCAAATGGCAGTTGACTGTTTAGTAGAAGAAAGAAACTAACCTTTTTTCATGCAATACGTCACGTTTCCACTTTGATTTATCAACTAATCTCTTGCGTTTACTGGGCTGCGATTTTTTAAAAACTGTTGTAAATCCTCCATTTTTTACGCACAAAAACAATTAAAAACCACAGCGACAACACTCACAGGTAACGGAATCAGCCATACTAATTTACTGTGTCACCTGTCACGTGATCTAATATTAGACTGCCATTGGTTGGATTTGTTATGGAAGAATTTGAAACTCACACACTTTATTTTAGAGTACTTTGCACCGAACACTGTAATTAAAATGTATTTTACACCCGCTTATGGCGGAGTTTGATAGGAAATAAATTTACGAATTTGTACTACTCTAAGAGTACTTTCAAATGTCATACTACGCTAAAATTTTTATTAAAAGTGTTTTAGCGGGTTTTAAAACTAGACGACTCATTGAAGTCGGTTGTAGAAAATTTTTACTTAACCGAGTTTCTGAAAACAATGAATTGGAACTAACTTTAAACAGAAGGCCACATATGCGTTATCAATCCTCACTATAAAATCATGTCAGAGCCCGTAACTCTTCAAGCTGGGATAGAAGTGGATATGTTATGGACCAAATGTAAACTAAAGTGGAAATGATTAGGCCATATAGCTTAAAAAAACTACAACCGATTGGGAAGAAAGGTCCTCGAGTGACACCTTCGTACCGGTAGGCGCAGTGTAGGGCGACCCCCCACTAGGTGGAGTGACCACCTAGTAAGACGTGCAGGAAATCGGTGGTTGCAGGTGGCTCAGGACCGTGCTTCGTGGCATTCCTTGGGGGAGGCCTATGTTCATCAGTGGACTTGTGAAGGGGTGTAATTATGATGATGAAATGATTACCTAATGATGGCATTAATAATAAAGTCAAGCTACACCTTAAACCACGGTCACTGATATTACTTGATACGTGCTTTTGTATTTCAACAAAGTAGTCCGTAGTCATAGTTAATTTAATTTAAAAACATGTTTTTATTCTGCCTAATAGGCGAAAGACATTTTTCAGAACACCCGGTCAATTTAATGTTTTCAACAGTAAGGCAGTATTGCCCCCTCATAATGAACGTTTTTCAAACTGTTCGTACATTATTCATTATCCATTTACAATCAATTCAATCACAGATATACAACTTGTCAACAAAAAATGTTAGATATAACTGATAGGGATGACATCATTGAATAAAACATTCATCCAATGTGTAGCGTTAACGTAAATTTAAGAAATCATTTGGATGATATCATTCATCATAGAAGCCGAGTTACTACTGCAATTATATAGTTCAAAAGCAGCAAGAGTAAAGAAAATTGTGCTCCTCCTTACCGTTTCAGGGTGATTTCTATAAATAGAAATATTAAGCAGGTTGAAGAGATACTCTTCTAATTGTTTCATCCTCAATTGTATGCCTTCATAGGTGATCATAACCTCTGGTTTCTTTGGAAACCTGTAAAAATACAAAGAACGAATTGATGACAGTTTCGAAAGTCACTGTATGAATTTATGTCAGTTGGAAAAACTAATATCATCGATTTTAACATTATACATAACACTCAACATAGTCGGGTGAATTTCTTCACCAGAATTGAGGTGCCACTCGGGTCGAAAAAGTAATTTTACTAACTTTATAGTATTAATTTTTACGCTCCCGACGTTTCGAGCGCTTTGCACAAATGGCTATTGGGGAACTGAAGTATTTGACGTCCTGATGCCATATTTAACCTGGGCTATTAAAGTTGAATGTGTTCCTGTGCTTGTAGCATTATGATGAGGATTAAAACCTAGTTAAAATTAAACTTGAAAGGTCTTATTAAAGTATTTAAATCGACTGAGTAAAATACAATACAGATATATTGTATTTTACTTATATTTGAAATACTTTTACAAGACATCGAAACGCAACTGTTTTGTGTGGTAATACCTCCGTCGCAGTAATCACCATGTTTGGGTTAATCAACGGAAGTTAGTATTAACTATATTAATTAGGTAGAAGGACTTTACCTAGAAATCCGTATGTTTAGGTAAAAGACACTTACGATGGGTATGTTCCAAAATAGAACCCAGTGTACTGTCCAATGCAAATGACGTCATGAATCGACGCTATACTGGTGATTCGTTCCAAAACATACGTCATATTGGAAAAGTGTTGGCGATTATTTTGTCATTTTGTGCTCCAAAAATCATTATATTTTCCTAATGGAGATACCAGCAATTATTCTATAATTTTTTGTATTTGAATAAATAAAAACAAATTCTGGCATGCTTCATTCAGCGCACACACAATTAAAAATTGTTTTATTGTGGCCGGATATCCGACGCAATATGGCGGCGGCACGCCAGTACAATATATAGTGTCAATTGATGACTTCATTTGCAATTGCCATTGGGTTGTATTTCGGAACATAGCTTGACGGCAGATCATGGGATCTGCCGTCAAGCAGTAGTGTGTACACTGCTATGTTCCTGCCTTTAAGGGGTGTACTAATTTTAGGATGTAAGGCTTCTTTCATAAAGTTGGTATCACGTGTCCATTGACTTGACTACTTACAAACAGGTAGTCTATAAGTTCGTTTGTCATTTGAACTTTATAAAAAAAGAAGCTGGCATTAGGTGACCAGGTATGGTAAAATGATCGATACTGCTATTGGGTAACACTTCGCCCAATTTGTTTTAGAGATTTCGAGTTTATTCTCGCTAATGAGCCGAAATCTATGCGTTAATTTTACTTTCTTGTTTTGTTTCGTAGAATTTTATAAAAATAATTTTATTTTGTATCCCCTTTACTTTATACTTTTTGATCTCCGGTTCGATGAGGCCCGGCCATTTAATAGGCTTACATAGGGGCATGGATCCAACACACAAAGGCATTTTGGATAATTTTACCTATAATTCTTTGTTATCTGGTGTATCTTGCAGGCCAGTCTCCATACAAATAATAACAATGTACCTGAAGAAGAACCCCAGGATATACACAAAGAAAACAAAAATTGTTAGGCTATGAGGTTGGGATTAGTGATGTTCAAAGCAAGACCAAGACAGACTTGGTATTGGTCTCGGTCTTGCTTGTTCGGACTTGGTCTTGCTCAAATACTTATTGCCTTGATCTTGGTCTTGCAATTTTGCACCGATTTTGCTCATCACTAAAATTAGTGGGGTAAACTGGAAATATTAAGCACACACAAAATGTTTTATTCTGATAAAACATATTGAAGTTATGACAAATATTTTCATATTATATCCTAATTAAAAGGGAGGTTTAATTTTTAGTTTAGTCTTGCACTTTGATCTTGGTCTTGCGTTCTCGGCCTTGGTTTAGGCCTTGTTCTTGTTAATTCGGTCGTGTTCTTGGTAAAGACTGCATGACTAGGACCGATTTTGCTCATGACTAGTTGGGATGCTCGATGGGTTGGGATATGAGGGACTCGGCTATTGCGCAGCTACTGAAGAGACTATTGCGGTCTTATTGCTTTCTGGGACGGCTTATTTTCAGCGGTGGACTTGAAGCGGGTGGTATTAATGACGATGATGATACTTTTTCACTTACCTAGGCAACGCGCCCTTCCTCTTTTTTGGCTTCCCTTCTCTTTTTTTTGGATTGTTCCTCGGTACAGCTTCTAATGCTATTCTCTCGGCCTTTTCCTCGGTGTTCAGTGTGTTTTTGAAACTCGCTCTTCTGCATTTGTGCGTTTTTGTTGGAAATGGTATGTCGAGAGATGCGCGGTATAAAGTCAACTGTTGGTGCAGATACAATATATGTTTGTATCTCCTTTTAATCGTCCATGTGAATTCGCCATGTTGGAGAAAGATTGTATACCTGCAGAAGTACATCATTTTAAATACTTGGTTACTTTAACATAATGTTATAGCGTGTTGACATTTTATTAAGCTAAGGGAAGATTTCTGTAAGCACGCACGCACGCACGCACGCACGCAAAACGCACGCACGCACGCTCGCACGCACGCACGCACGCAAGAACGCACGCAAACAAACACACACACACACACACACACACACACTAAATATTCGTATAGGGATGTATAGAGATAAGCCTATGTGGTATAGAGATAATAATAATAATAATAATAAACATTTATTTCTCCCACTTTTTACATAGTTACAATAGTTTCATAAATAGTTAAAGAGTTTTTGAGTAGCTGTGGGAGACAGGAGCCCAAACTAGGTTACCCTGTGCTATGGGTCTCTTGGCTTTATTACATACTTTTCGATGATACTGTACTTAGACATGAAGTGAGCGTTGCATGTGGAGATCGAATATGAGATTTCCAAAGTGTAATTTACAATTAAAGTCATATAGAATAAATATAATATGCAATATATTTTAAAGGATAATAATAAAAGTATATAATCAAAATTTTATATATATATATATATATATATATATATATATATATATATATTATTATATATTATATACCACAAATATAAGTGTGTGTGTGTGTGTGTCTATCTCACTATTTCGCTTTTACAGTAAATTCTCTGTTTCTTCGTAATCTAATTTCATAAGCCAATCTGTTAATTTTTTCTTACATTTATATTTTGTTAGTTGAAAAATTGAGTGTTTTTTTTTATTAACCTTATCATATAACCTGCCTATTCTGTACCCATAAAACTTTTGGGCGAAAGTAGATTTTGCTTGTATCGTTTCACATACCTCATAATTACTTCTCCTAGTTTGTAGTAAATTGGGTGTATACACAGTGCAAGTGTGTTTTTTTTAAATTGAATATGCTTAACTGAATAAACTAGTTGTTGAGAAAAATTTTGGTTTATAAAGTGCAACTTTTAAAATCATTCGTTGAGCTCTTTCCAATTCAAGCATGTGTGTTTTATTGGAACCTCCCCAAACAGTAATACCGTAGGTTAATATAGATTGGCACAAGGATATTTAAACAGTTTTTAGCAATATCCAGTTTGTGACATGTCTTAAGTTTTTAAAAATGTAAGTTAGTTTTCTGACACTTTGCGTTAAATTTCTTATGTGTGCTTTGAATTTAAGATTGTTATCTATTGTTATTCCTAAATATTTGATTTTTTTTATTATATTAAAGCAGTTGCAGTTTGAACTGGGAAATTGAAAACATGAATGAGCTATAATTTTATAATTGCTAATATATTTTGGTAATTTTCGAATAGAGAACGTAATATATTTGGTTTTATCAACATTAAGTGGAAGTGAATTTATGGCTAGCCACTGACAGACGGTATTAAAACCTTCTTGTGCAATGTTAAAAACTTCTTCCCACGAATCCCCATAAAAAGTTAGTGCAGTATCATCGGCATACGATATTATTTTACACTTTTTTATATTTAAGTTACAAAGTTCATTAATGTAGCATAGAAACAGCGTTGGGCCAAGTATACTGCCTTGTGCCTTGGATGCCGTAACTAATGGGTAGTTCATCGCTTACTATGTTACCTATCCGAACGCTTGTGTTCGATTATGTAAATAATCCATAAAAAGTTGTAACTGTTTGTCCCTTATGCCCATCATTTCTAGTTTTTCAGAAAACTTAGCGAAAGAAACTGTGTCAAACGCTTTTTGTAGGTCAATAAAAATGGTTAGGCACTTTTTTTACTATCCAATTTCTCAACAATAAAACTAGTTAAGGCGTGTACAGCATCAGTTGTTGACTTTCCCTTTCTAAAACCGTATTGAGCATTTGAAATTATATAATTTGCTTCCAGATATTTGATAAGCCTACAGTTAATAATCTTTTCAAATATTTTAGAGAGGGAAGGTAATATTGAAATAGGACGATAATTTGAGACACAGCCTCTTTCGCCAGTTTTAAATATGGGAATGACTATAGATTTTTTTTAGTGAGAGAGGAAAGATGACTTTACACATATATACAGATATAGATATACATACATTAAAGATATGGGTAAGGGGAGGTACCATTATATCTTTGAGAAGCTTTAATACTCTAGCAGAGATCCCATCCCATCCTGCACTGCTGTCAGACTTAAGGCTTAAAATGTGCCTTTCGATTTCGTCTTCACTAGTGTTTAGGAGAACAAACGAGTTACACCTTGATGTTCTTTTATTTATATTTTGAGGAAGTAAGGGAATATTTAGAGGAATTTTACTGGCTAATTCAGCACCTATTTTGGCAAAATATTCATTGGCCGCGTTTACAGATTTAAGAGGACTTATATTAGCTTTAAGAAGTTCCAGCGGTAAATTTTTACGATGGTCTAGATCACTAATTTTTTTTATATCTTTCCAAATTTTTTTTTTGTTATCATTACCTGCTATTTTTAATTCTTTGCTTTCATAATTTCTTTTACATTTTTTAAGAATGTTATTGCAATAGTTTCTATACCTTAAGTACGTGATTCTGAGTGTCTCATTATGGGGGTCTTTTTTTAGTTTGAAGTGCATTCTCTCTCTTGTTCTTATGCACCTAAGTAATCCTATGGTTATCCATGGTTTTAATGTTATTTTGATCCTAGGTAATTTTATGTTAATTGAATTTTTTAAAATTAATTTTCGTAAGTTTTCAATAATAAAGTTAATGGATTGACTTGGATTCACATCATTGTTAAATATTATATTGAAATCAAACTTTTTGGAGCTTTCAAGTAAAGTCTCATAATTTATTTTTTGTTTAAGTTTTATTTTCGATTGCATCCAGCATTTTTTTGTTTTCAAACAGAAGAACACATGTTCATGGTCTGTAAGTGTTCTGGTCTGCAATGGCAGATTGTAAAATAAAAGTATATGAACTTAATTTCGTTTTTAATACGATATGATCTAAACAACTATTACCTCTAGTAGGTGTGTAATAAGCAGGGGTCAAACCCAGGAAAGATAAAGTTTGGAGATAGATAGATAGGATGTTGTTTGGTTTAAATCTGCAATATTAATATTTATATCCCCTATAACGAGGACGATTTTTGTATTCAGTGTGGTTTACAGTATATTATGCAGAGACTGAATAAAATTGTCAATGTTATGAAAACTGGGGGGTGTGTAAATGGCAATTATGACAGTGTCTTTATTTATTTTTAAAATTAGACAATTTGCATCTAAAATGTTTGGCTCTTCAATTTTAAAGACAAGATCATTATTAATCAAAAAGACTACACCGTCGTTTTTATTGTAGTTAGAAGTAGTACTAAAGGTACAATACCCTGGCAAATTAGGTAAATTAGTAACATGTGAGAGCCAGCATTCAGAGAGAATTATAATATCACAAGATAATTCTATTCTTCTCAATAAAACATTAAAATTATTATAATTTTTGTTTATACTCCTGTTTTGTTGTAAAATTTTTAGGTATAAATTAGGGTGTAGTATAACATTTTTGCAATGTTCAGGTTAGCATACTTCAAGTTTCGTTATTTCATAGTCATCTAGTATAATAACATTTAAGTCTTCTATCGATCACAGTAAATAAAATTAGGCTACTGATAAAAGGATTCACAAACAAGTTTTTTAATATTTTATAAAATACCATTTTTAGTTTTATATATGAAGAGTTTTCATTTCCTTTTTTATATGTACGTAAATACGTCTTTATTATTATAATAATTGTTGAAATTTGATGAAGTCTTAGAAAGATGGTTACATTAAAAATTGTGATTACAGTACTTAAGAAAGGTGTGTTTTGAGATTGTATACGTGTGGGTACATAGAACATACATTTTGTTTACGTTTTAGTAAGATTGAATGTGTATAACAGCATTTTGAGTCTATTGAATGAATTATAGTGTATAGTAAGTAAGTAAATAAATAAATTATATTTTGTTGAGATACCTATGATACAAATTCTTATGTTGTATTTATGTTCTTGAGGTCTTGCTCGTTTTTTATACGAAATAGTGCTTCGCCTTCTTTCTTTCGTAGATATATGGTACTTGGCGTGGCCCAACAAAACTTGTACTCGTTTTAGCAGCAAAATCTCTTGCAAGAAAATGCAGGCGTTTCATTTTAGGTGTTAAAAAGTCCGTGATAAATATTGGTGTACGCGGGCCTTCGAAGTTTAGGTGTTCTGTGCTGAGCCCTTTTCCATTGTTTTCCTTTTTAAAAATTTTTAAGGAATTTAAAAGTTTGTTTTTTATCATAACTGATGAAAAGTCTACTATGACTGAATTATTGGACTTACTTTTCGTATAGATTTTTTGAATATTACGTATGTCTGTTTGTTCAAATTTAATTTTTAACACATCTGCAAGCGACGTTACCAAATTTTGCAGATCTTGGTCTGTTTCTCTTTTTATACTCGGGATATTTCTTATTTCAATGCATGACGGACGATTGTTTCTCTCCAATATTCAATTTTATTTTCTAGATTTTCAATATAAATTTTGTCCACTTTTTCTCTTGAAGTAAATTATCATATTTAACTTTTAAACTGTCATATTGATGAGACAAAAACTCGAGTGAGGACGAAATATGAGTGTTTTGGTCCTTAATTGTTTCTAATAGTGTTGCGTATTTCTCGTCCTGGGTCGAAGTCCAGTTTGAAAAAATACTTTCGAATTTTTTGCATAAGAAACTCCATGTCATCGCCTTGCTTCCGCTTCTGAGGTCTCATAGTTATATTTTTGTCCCCTGATAAGTCTGGGGATGACGAGGAGCAGTAAAACTGAATTTTGGAAGGTGAACGTTCGATTGGCATAATGAAGAATAAAATAAACTCCTTTCTCCTTTGTGTCAAACACAGCGTTTTCTATCACTTAGAGGTGATTTAGTTACAAAAAGTGTAGTCCTATTTGTGGTCTAAGATGCGACTTTCCGACGGCAAAGCGTTTAAAGCGATAAGTAGGTAACTTATTGAAAAAAAAGAGATAGCTGTATACACTTTTAACAGACCTTTCGTCAATGCTTATAAGGGCGTAATTCCACTTATAAATTAGATTAGATGGGCGTGGTTATGAAATTCTCGTTTCGTTTAAATCTTGGTAAGAATGCTATCTCACTCACCAGTATAATATCTTCGCTCTGTTCAGATGCAGTACGACACTTTTGTATTACACTTGCATTCCTAGTTTCCTGGTAGCTGATAAATTAATTAACGCATAGCTTCACTATTTAATTTATAGAAAAAAAAATAGATATGCAGAAAATAATTTCTACGAAATTATTATTTAAAAATACTTCTGAAGAAATAAAATTAGAAAAATGGCAAAATCTATATTTGAATGACTGTGGACACGTCTGCTCTGTATTGAATCAAAGACGGAAGGGAAGAGATGTCAAAAATAAATACATATTTATAAAATGAGATTAGTTGTAGATAACCTAAGTCATTTTGCATTTGATTCGCAAACTTATTAATTCCATACAAAGCACACAATCATCTATGGTAATGAATCATACTCATTACTTCATAACGAAATGTATATCATGCATGCATTCATATGTATTATTTGATGAGCCATTTGTCTGGCTTCAATTCAATTATACAGTTATGACCAGGAGTGAATAACGACCTGAATATGCTTTTCGTAACGTTAAGTGTGTTTATATAATAGAGTATAGCCCCAATACTGGTCTGCTGCTAAATTTAAGATGCCTTGTCACGCGCTATCTCTATCACTTTAAGTCAAACTGACTGTGGCACCACGAGACTTACCGAAATTTTAAAATTGAAGAAGTTTCTTTTAGTTAATGAGTTCTAAAGATTACGACTCATTGGTAGTACGAGCAAACACTACTGATTTTGTAATTGGATTTTGTTTAGTTCAGAAGACCTCAGTAGAAAGAACGATATTTCTTATTACCATCGGATGGCGGGTGGTTTGATGTTTTACTACTGATGTAACCCGTATCAGTTATCTTTCTGTATTAAAACAAGTTTGAAAAATAAGTTTATTTTAACGATAAAAAAAAGGAAGTGTAGTATTTCTCGTAATATGAAGTATGTCAAAAATCATAAATAATTAGTACTATAACCCCCTGTAAGGATATAACGCGCAATTTTGCGATTCCAGGGTTATATTGATTTTACGTAACTGCTCCATACATTTATTTCGTTAAAAAAATCATAAGTCCTCAGTTTTAAGCCAAATTACTTCGTGTGACATTTTTGACCATAGTAATACTAAACAGAAGCCATTTAAAGCTTAAAAAACGACACTTAAAACTTAAAACCTCTAAGTCTTCGAAACACGATTTTCGATCCAGTGTGTGTCGTGGCGATTACAGCAAATCCTGGCAAGTAAGGGAGAGGCCGAGTCTAGCAGTGGTCTCTTACAGTCTCTGATAAAGAAGACCAAGAATAAGCTGTCATTTAAACTAATTTACCAAAAAGGATTTCTGATCCCCCATATGTTTATTACAAGACCTCTTATTATGAGTCTTAAACTAGGTTATTCATATATATATATATATATATATATATTTTTTTCATTTTATGCTATATTATATTTTCTTGTAAATATGGATCTTTGTGTCTACAATAAATGATTATTATTATTATTATTATAAATAAGGTTTTCAACTTATATGGAAATTAACCTTCTATGGAATAAAACCAATTACCAATTGACATATTATATAAATAAATATTGTAATTATATGTTGTGTAGGATACTTACAAATTAGGATTAAGCAGATGCGTAGTGACGCTCCTTTCGTTTTCTATAAATCTGACCTTTATTTCAACGCCCGGTATAAATACTTTTCTATGCACCGAGTCGAATTTTATGGGTGGATTGTGGATGGATTTGAATGGTACGCTCGCGCGAGTGGCTGTAAATTATAAAGCTATATATATAAAATGTAATTATTACACACAGCACAACTAGCCCTGATTAAGATAGTCATAACAGCGTGTCTCTACCACGTGAATAACACAAGTGATGTTCACATTATTTGGGTGATGTAACGTTAGTAGTTTCTTAGAACATCTCATCATCAACGTCAACGATACGAATAACAACGACAAACTGATTTATATTTTATCAAAGTACTTTTTTATAGAATGACGGTCACAAACGTGCACGTAAGTCCACCTGATGGCAAGTGGATACTGTGGGCCACAGACATCCGAATTTATCCTCGATTGAGATTCAAATTGCAAATGCGTTGTCCACCCTGAGCACTAAGATGAAATACCTCGTTTCCAGTAAAGAGTCTCTGGTTCCCTGCATTCACCGTACGAAACAGAGTAGCATTAAAGTATTATTTTACGTTGGTATTCTGTGGGTGCGATGCCGGCTTTTAACTTTTTACCGTAACAGCCTGTTAAAGTCCACTGCTGAATATGAGCCTTCCGCATAAACTGTCACTTAAAGAGAATATTATTCCTCGGGAACGATAACGCATTTAAATTTTGATTCATAATCGAAGATTACGAGGTAGAGCCACGCTGCATCTATATTATAGTTGTAGCATGAATGGATCGGCTCGACCGGGGCAGGACCACGCTCTCACAGAATACAAGCGTAAAATAGCAGCTTAATGCTGCTGTGTTTCGTATAGTGAGTGTAGAGAACTGGAGACTCTTTTTACTGGAATCGAGGCACTCCATCCGTCAGGGGTGACAACGCATTTGTCTTTTGATTCTTAATTGAGGAAAAATGTTGATGTCTTATGGGCCACAGTCCACCTGATTGTAAGCGGATGCTGTGTGCTCATTTGTCATCCAATGTTATAAAGACAAAGAAGATAGATGTAGGTGTGTATAGCATATACTTAACACCTTATGAAAGAAAAGATGTTTTGAGGAGATTTATTTCTATACGAAATTACGTCAAGATTTGCCGCGGTATTTGTGATCCTTTTGCGTAATCGTATTATATAACACTGTCTAACTACGAGTTATTCATAGATTTGATAAATACTGAAATTAGTGCGGAGAATTCCACACGGGTGAGTAACTTTACGATGTTACGTCATTTCACTTGTCAATTGTGAATTCGTAAGGATCTGAACGGTAGCTTATGACCATCTTCTGAAGTTGCTTAATGGTACCATGTTAATGTATAATATATTATAGTATAGTATATTATAATTAATATAATATAATAATTAAGTACTTAATATAGTATATTATAGTAACTTATATTATAGTACTATCAGACATAGTAGTAAGACAGTAGCAATGAACTATATGTAGTACGCGGGTTAGCAAATGGGTTACAATGGAATTAATTAGGTACTCAATTTTATCAAAGGGACTGGATGTTTGTCAATGTGCATTTTATGTAAATAAAATGCATCCACAATACAGGATATATACTAGAGTAATTGAAGTTAACTTTTTAAGAAATAAAAAAAAAACATCTATTTCTTTAAAGATCTATATAAATAGTCAGGGAAAGAGAGCGGACACAATGTAATGTAGGCACATGAGTAGATAAACGGAACAGAGATAAAGCTTCATACAACCGCGCGAGTTGCACTACTACAAGCACGCGGGGCATGTCTGCGTGACCACTGGTCGCTTGTCGTGTACGCGCGGCAGGACCAGAAAAAACCGTTTACATTGGCACAGCCAGTGTACAATCTCAGGGTTAGTGCGACGCGCATTGTTTGTTTTATTAGTTGCAACTTTTAATATTTTAGTGTAAAAACGTGGTATTATTAATAATAGTTGTTTATTGTACTGTGAGTATGGATAATACTAAATAAAAATATATCGTACTTTAACAAGAAGAAGAAGCAAGAAGTACAATTAGTAAGTAAACATTTGATTATTGCTTTTTTAAGTAAGTACCTTCACTTTATTGTATGATCCTTTTTTAATAAGAAGAGGGTACTACATTTTTACAGTTTTTAACTTTTTATTGTTATTAAAAGTTTTATCTAAACATTTGTAGCTATGTAGTAGGTATGTGTATTAAGTACACATATTGCAAGTAAGATTTGTACCACTTTCCGATGTCCGATTGAGTTGAAATTTTGTATACCGTGACTTCAGTGACAATGCAATAATATAATAGATATAATCTGGTGCTGTAGCCAGCATTGTCTCCTCACTAGGAAACTAACGGTTGGTAGCATGGACTCGAAACTTTGTATTTTAAATTTAATTTTGTTTGCTAAAAATGATCTTCAACATAAACTGCTGCTGCAGTCAGGATAGTCTCCTTACAAGAGAACTTCTCAACAGCTATAGTAAACAGTATGTTAGAATCAGAATTTACTACACCATTAAAAGAAACAATAAAATATTAAAAAAAAATATAAAAAGAAAATTATTAGAGTAGGTAAGTAATTTGTAAATTATTCTATCATATTGAATAATAAAACTATTTAACAAACGTTTTGTTTAATTTGTCTTCAGCTTTTGTGACAACCCTACCAAAATAGGTAACAATTTTGCACGTACTTAAGAAGCTTTGTCTCTGTTCCGTTTATTTACTCATGTGATGTAGGCAAGATGTATATTTTGAAAAACTAAGATTATCAGTCGGGAGTTCTGATGCTTTCTACCCATAATAGATAAGGACAGACGAACTAACTTGGCGTAAAATATAATAACCCTAAAAGGCACGAGCATGCTGAAAACAAAAAAAATAAGCCTTTTAACCAACTCCCGCAATAACAAAATGAGGGAAAATCTCCTTATTTTACTCGTCGAATTCTGGCAAATGAGGATATACGACTATATACTATATGACGCCACATAAAATCCAACATGGTATAATTAAATAAAGATTAATATAATATCGTAAGTATTTGATATTCAACGAAAGATCATAGCGAGTACATTTCGAGAATACATATTATTAACTTCTTTTCATCACTTTTATTAGCATTCAATGTTTGTAAAATAATCAAGAACAATAAATCAAAATGATAACGTTTTTTTGTTATCTGAAAGGCACATAGTGCGCTATCGGTTTCAAGAATGCAAATGGAAATTCGCGATTAAAATAAACAAGACAATAAGTATTAGGTACCTCTTCCATAAGAGTGCTTATATTACTTGAGATTTTGTAAAACGGCAATGTTTATTTTATCTATTAATTTGATAATAACGAATCAAGCAAAGAAACATCTTACAGATCATACACAGGCGTACAGCAAGCGTAGATTCAATGGTTGGTACATTCGATGGAGAATAGGACACTATTATGTTACAATTTCTTTTCCAAATACATGCTTAGCTTAGCAAACACGCGTATTTCCACGTAGTGCACTCAAATCACTATCGACAAGAGGTCGAAGGTCTGTAGGTCTGGCGTCCTAAAAAAAGCAGTACATCAACTAGAATCGGCGTAAGACCACTATAACATACCGCGGGTGTCATATGAGGCGACAACAGCTCAATAATAATAATAATAAAAAACTGCGGTTGCCAACCCGCCTACAAGGGTGCCAACTATCTCCCTATGAGGCAACCTACAAGGTAGGCCTATGCTCAGGAGTGGACTTATGATAGGCCGTAGTGAATGTATGAAATGACCACTCTCTCACCACTCAAAATAAACCCAAATCTCTCAGACTGGTGCTGCGAAACAGAATGCTGTTAATGATGATAATGAAAACGACAATGGTGATGTTGGTGACAGTCATGATGAGGATGATGGTTATGATTATAGCAATGATGATGACGATAATGGTGCTACGCTGAATATTAAGATAATGATTTTGATGACGACGATGAAGACAGTGGTGGCTACAATGGTGTCAATGAATAAACGAAAGATGACGACTACGTAGAAAAGGATGACGATGCCGATGACGATGCTAAGACAACGATTATTGCAATTAAGATGACGACAATGGTAACAATTATGATGACGGTGGTGATAAAAATGATGATGGCGAAAGTGATGACGATTAAGATGTTAATCATGATCACGTACGAACATGGTTAGTAATGACTAATTAAATAAATGCATGCCAGTTGACACAATCTAATAGATTAAAAAGAAAAAGGCCGATAACGAAAAAAGGAGATACATGGCGTTGTTATGTTTTTGCCGAAAGCTTCGTGTTTTGATTATCCGTAACTTCTTAAGGCTCGCAACGAAAAATTCCTAAAGATGGAAGTGGAACCATTTTCAAATAAGAAACAAAGATAAATTCTTCCTGGACTACATGACTGCCTCGTTTGTACAGTGGTCTTAAACACGACTGTTGACCGTATGGTCCCGGATATTATTATTGATATCCGGGGTAGGACTAAAATCTTAATCGAAAAGTTTAATTTTTCTCAATTATGTTACCAGTACAAGAGGATTTGCACTGCTCTCTTTAACCCCGTCCGCCATGTGAATCTTTCAAATAATGCGTCAATTTGGCATGTGTCAGTCAATGCGTTTGATGTTGTCGGAAAAGCCGACATAAACAATAAATTAAAATAAAAGTAGAGAATAAAATAAAATAAAAAATAGATTTTATTTCACTTTTAAACAAATTCCTGTGTATGTGGAATTTGATGAAACTTTAATTCTTTACCTATAAATGAGGACGAACCACAGTTTTTGACCGCACGAGCGTGAACCAATTTATTTGCGTGACAGGACAACCCTAGCGGACAGTTTCTGGTCTACGTACTACTAAAATGTGAACTTATCACTTTGATTTTTTATTAGCTTTAGATTTTAATCCTTAGAACGCCGTTTGATCTTCACTATTGTAAATCATCCTGTTCATTAATATTGACTTTTTTGGTAACAAAATACGTATCACCGGTATCAAGCAGTCAAAAAAAAATTCGTCTTAATTAAACAGAAACAATTTTTTGTAGCTTTAGGCCCGCTATATACATACGGAATTCCGAACGTAGGAAGTCT